GGCACTGTTCAATCTGCTTTGCTTATTGGGTGAAACTTGCATTCAACAAACTATATTTTTAAATAATTAAAATGAGGATTGCTCCTAAGACAAATGTGTTGGGTCTTTAGATAATGATTCACGTTTTTTTTAAAAAAATAAAAATAAAAGAATGAGCAACTCCGAATATAAAAGCTGAAAATTTACAAACACTTGTCTTTTCTTTCCTGATTCTCTGTACCTTTCTATAGATTGTATTTAATGATATTCTTGATTCTTTTATGTCTAGAAATGGGAGCCGGCACTGGAAAGAATGGCAAAGCACTATGCAGGAAAATGTATATTTCAACATAATCCAAAAAGGAAGAATGCTGGGGAAAATTTAATGGCCATCCTGAGTTGTTCATTTTCTACAGGAAGGCCAGTCAGAGACTGGTACAATGAGAAAGTGTTTTATTCCCACAAGAATAAAAGATGTGATAAAGGCAGAGCTTGTGGTCACTACACACAGGTATGAAACCATTTAATTCTCAATCTGATCAGATGGATCTGATAGCTCAGTGGTCAGAGCACTCGCTTTGCAAACAAGAGACCTGAGTTCAATTCCAGGCAGAGGGCGAAACCTTGGGCAAGTTTCCTTACTCCACACAGAGCCTAATAATAATCCCTCCAAAACAAAACAATAATAAATTGGTTATTTTCAATCTACGACTGTTTGTGGGACATTGCTGTGCGCAATTGACTGCCGCGTTCGCCCACAAATATACAGTCAATTCACTTTACAGTGTGTTCTGTGAAGCGCTTTGGGACGTCCTCCCGACGTGAAAAGCGCTATATCAAATGCAAGGATTATTATTATTATTATATGATTTAGCAACTGAGAAGCACAGCTAATAGATTTTCAGTTTTCAGCTGTTTCCTGACCCTCACAGAACATTCCTCTTTTGCCTTGAGGATGTAATAATAATAATCTCTGTTAAGTTAATCATTATGCTGCTATATTGCTATGCATTTTGTCGATAAAGGGAAGTTACTGAATATTTAGTACCTCTGTAACATTTTCTGTTGTGATATGTGAGTGTCAGCAATTTTTTTTAAAAAAATGTCTGTTTGTGTCTTGTAATTACTTTAACATCCTTGAAAATGTCTTGCAATTGGATTAAAAGCCGTGTTTGTAACTAGATGGTCTTTGAATGCAGAAGTAAGCCAAAAAAATGGTGTCTGTGTGTGATAACCAGGCGGCTTTGTAGTTATAATTGAACAAACATAGTAAATAAGTTGGATACAAATATAACCCAGAGTCGATTTTGCTTGTTAGAGCATATTTGAGAAGAAACCACAGTAACTCTGATTGTGTTACTTTCTTTTTGTGTCTTTGCTGTGCCGAGAAAAAATAAGTTGAACTCTACCGTTGTTCTGACCTTGATTAACTAGTGTCCGAAACTCTTAGAATCAAACTTCAGAGTCAACAAGAATGAGGAGCTGTTCCTGTTGTGCATTATTTCAACAGGGAATGTATTCTTTGAGAATGAACCTTGCAAATGTACTTCTGATTTTTGGTAAACGTTCTTTTTTAAGCCTCAACTCTCCCAAGTAAAATTCAAAATGTGTTTACTGTGTTTATGTAACTTTTACAGATGGTTTGGGCAAATACTTCTCAACTGGGATGTGCTACAAAGTTTTGTCCCACACTTAAAAACGGTGGAAAGAAATTAAATATTGTGGTGTGCAACTATCGACCTCCGTAAGTATGAATTTTACTGAAAATATCCATTTTTGTCAGAGCTTACCTTAAGACTTTCCTGTTCGACTGTAACGTTTCCCCTTTCTCCCCTATTCAATGGCAAACTGCCATTGTTGCATTAAGAGCACTATATAAATGTGAGTTGTTATTGTCTAGAGCCTCCAGTTTGTAAATACCATGGAATAATGTCCATGGGGATGGGCCCTGAGGTGCGGAGCCAAGGAGGGAGGACGAGAATAAAATGGAAACCCTTTCCCTTCTTGGGCAAATTATCACAGCTGCTGTGATTAACTAATCTTATTTTGCCACTGAAATGGAGTGAAATGATGATTGCCAAACCTGTCACGCCCAAAGTTGTTGTGCTCTGCTCTTTCAAACTTCTCTCTTCAGAGAGATTGCAAACAGCACTGCTCACACTAAAAAGTGACTACATGTAAAACACACCAGGTTGATCCCTCTGGTATCAGTGTAGAAGTACAGAAAAAATTGCTTCCAAAGCAAGCTGTCTGTGAAGTGACTCAAGAGAATTTGTCACCTGGTTCGCTTTCTAACATTGTGTCTATTTCCAGAGGTAATCTCAAGGGGAGCGGCCCATATAAGCAAGGACCTTCTTGCTCTGAATGTCCATCAGGATACACCTGTGAAAACAAGCTTTGCAGTAAGTTCATTCAAGATTTTGCCGTTGAACATCAGTCCAAACAGAATCTATGCATTGAACACATGCCGATCAGAACATAATCCTCCAATTTTCTCCCCTTTGAAAAGTGGGGACATGCTCTGACATTTTGGTTTGCAATGTCGCCAATGTGGAAAGACCATTTTTCTGCTTGGGTCCAAATCCCTGCCTGTTCAGCACCTTGGGGCATTTCTCCTGACGTGAAAGGAGCTTTACAAATGTGATTTGTATTGTATTGTTTTCATGTGTCACTCCAGACAACAATTATTGTTGGCCTATTCAAATGAGGGGTTCTTTCTCATTTCTACAGTACTCATCATTCCCTTTTAAGTGCAAAGATGAATCACTAGAATTTAAAGAAGAATAATTTTCAGTAGCTGAGAGAAGCAAAAAAGTAATGCTTCATTATCTGAATTTGAGGCGTGGAATTTCACATGCTCGAGGCTAAAAAGTCACTCTCTTTACAGTGGTTTAAAAATTGGAAAGTCAACTGTGATAAAATTCTACCCAAGACTGCAATTATAGGAATGAGGAAAACAAAGCTCTGAGTTGATTGTTATTGAGCACAGGATCTTACATGAATGATTACAAGGTCTTTTATGCAAGTGTTTCACCCACAAAGTATAGTCAATTCACTTTGCAGTATCTTATCTGCATCCACTGTACAAAAATTACTGAAACAAGTAAGTTCTACAGTCTATTTGAGGTTAAGATTTTTTGATTGCAATATAAAATATTATTTTAGCAAGATTGTACTGCAGCAATCCTAACCATTTTATTCTATTTTACACCAGGTTCTGCGCATTCAGATGTCTTTAATGGAGGAAAATTGGAAATCATTATATCTGCTCTGGCACTTGTACTTTTACCTGTTTGGGATTCTCTGTAAATCAAGAGAACTGGCATGCATTTCCAATAAAAAAAATAATTCGATTGTGATTCACTGCAAAGGATTCCCTTGTGAAGGATCATTCTTGTTCAAGTTCATAGATGCTGTCAAATGTATAAATAAATCTTTACCACGTTGTGCGATTTAATACAAAATGGGCAGCGTTAAATTGGGATGAGCATTGTAATTGGGGAGCAATTTGCACTGTTGAGCGGTTAAGGCATCTGGAATTGCAATATGCCAGTATAAATGTAGCCGTGTGAATTCGTTTCACTTCTGTTCCAGAGTTGTCTTCATCTCTAAAAAGATAGAATTTTCAAGCGTTAATCTGGATCCAGGTTGAATTACACTTCACACAAATCCAACAGAATTCGACAGCACAGTCGGAAAAAAAACCTCTGCCACGACCTCCTTATAGTTCTAATGTAACAAGCTAAATATCTTCAGTTCTAACAACTTGCATTTATATCACACCGTCGATTTGACAAAAATATCTGGAACCAGTCGGGAAAATGTCTCAAGGTACTTGGCAAAGACAGAGGAAGATGGACAAAGGCGCAGTCGTCTTTGAAGCTGGATTTCGAAAGACAGGAAGAGAGAAGACATCCGAGAGAAGTCGGATGACAACGGGAAAGGGTTACACTGCCCAACAATCCTGTATTTTTTTTAAGAAATTGGGTCTTTAACGTTCAGATCCTGGAATTTTGATCACAGAATGTCTATCCAGATCCTGTTCAGAGTTGGTGCTGGTGGGGAGATCAGCTCTGGCACAATTGATGTGATTCTCCTTTATCTCCAAAAGATATTCCAGAGCTCCTACTGCAACTACTCACTGGAAAAATGCCTTGATTACTTTGATCCCTGAACTTGTATTTCAATTACAATTCTGTGTGGTTCCCTGTGAGCTCCCAAGTGAGTAAATTGGCTTTGTGTGTGTGTGAGTGTGTGTGTGAGTGTGTGAGTGTGTGTGTGTGTGGGATCTTCCAACAATTACTCACATTCATTTAAATCTTTTTTGGAAAAAAAATTCCAAATGGTCCAAATGCACCAATTTTTTTTCTCTCCCCCTCTGCAGATGCACCAATGCTTTAGTCACACAACACCCCCCCCCACCCCCCCTTACCCCCCCCAATATATGAATGTATCTATTTATCATAACGTGGAGTTATCCCTCAATTTCAGTGTTTCCAGCTGCGATGTTGAGCTCAATTTAACGAAACTAGAGACTGGTATTTTTTTTTTTGCATTTATTTCAACTTATTCCTTTGGGGGTTTTTTTTTAAAAAAAAGAGATTGCCACCCAAAAAAAATAATATGTATATATATATATATATACATATTATTTTTTTTGGGTGGCAATCTCTTTTTTTAAAAAAAAACCCCCCAAAGGAATAAGTTGAAATAAATGCAAAAAAAAATATTTTATAAATATTTTATAAATATTAATATTTTATAAATATGTATATATATATATATATTTTTTTTTAATTTTATTTTATATATATATATATGCATTGCAATTGCCAGCTAAGCTCTGCAGAGTTATTGTGCTATTCAGACACTCAAATAAAGTGCAGGCGTCATAAAGTAAAGCGTCACAGTTTCCACGGTTATATATTAACACGTCTCCTGGCTCTTCCCTCGGGGGTTATTTTTTTTTGCACACAGAGAAGAAGGGGCATCACATCAGCTCAACGTTGACTGGATGAGCCATGGCAGCCAACTCACTGAGGTCGCCTGTTGTGCTTCTCCTCTCTCTGCTCACCTTCCTCCCCTCTGCCTGGGGGCTGAGCAAACAGCAGCAGAATAAAATAGTGGCTGCCCACAATAAATACCGCTCTGAAGTTGCTGCCACCAACATGATGAAAATGGTAAGAGTAGGGGTGCTGGCGGGTGCTGGCGGGTGGGGGAGGCTACGTTACCCCCACGCTCAATTGTCATTTATACAGCGACGCCGTCACGCGGGGCGGTAGGGTCCCAGAGCGCTTGACGGTGGCGGCCCGAGACGGGTGGGTGGGGGTTGGCGGGGTGGGTGGGGGGAGGGTTCGGGGGGGGGTTCGGGGGGGGGGGGGGCGGGAGAGATGACCGTAAGCACGGTCGAAGAGGAAGGACTTCAGGGGCGATGGGGGAGGAGGTGGTGAGACGGGGAGGACGGGGGTGGGAGAGTGTGCCCGAGCTTGGGGCTCGGTGGCTGAAAGCGCGGCCATCGCTTGTGGAACGGAGGGCACGAGAGACGGGCAGGTTTAGGCACGAATGATTATCCATTTTTTAACAAAAAAGGCTGAATGAGTAGATTGGGAATGGAATTGGAGGACGTAGGAATAAATGGATTAAAGTGAGGCGTTAATAGGATACAATGGTTTCTCCGCTACAAGGGTGATTTGTGAAATCGGTGATGGAGAAACCTTGAGCTAAATTGTTCCGTGCTTTCTCATGATCTTATTTACAGTAGCTAACTCATTAGGTATTATTTTCAAACAAAATGAACAGTTTATCCAAGAACGTTCCTAACCATCTCAGGATCATTCCCCATCCAAAGATCACCACTTCCTGCGATCAGGGGGAAGTGATGTTCCCTCGGGTGAAGGTTGAATCGAAACTTTACGGTTTAGTTTCCCAGGATTTTGTAGAAAACGGGTGAATTTATTGCCACCTTTTGAGAAAGAGAAAGATAATCGTACCCATAATAGAATGCTCAAGTGAATCAACATTCAAAAACTAACAATAAATAAACATTGCATTTTACAGACTAAGAATACCAAACCCCAGCAATTCTTTATTTGTAAGTCACTCTTTTAAGTGGGGGAACATGATTTCTTTACAGAGAGTAATTAAGGTTATGTAAATGCACAGGATTTTTGAAAAGGAAAATGGCACATCAGTATTTACTGATGACTTGTGCCTGGAAGTCACAAAATCACCAAGTGTATTTGATCAAACTTGCAGAAATAAAATGAGGACTGTGATTAATAGAATCACAGCTCGACGTTTCTTTGAAATTAAAAAAAAACACACAGCTGTGAGACAGAATTACAGTTAATGGGAATAAAAGTAGTCGTTTGGAGATGGATGGGAATGAGCATCCGAGATATTTTAAATTAATTTTTTTCTTTATGCCAAAGAATTTGTAACCCTCTTCTTTGACCGCACCTTTGGTCAACCTCCTACCCTCCACGCCCTCCATCCCTCCTGATCCCAACCACCGAATCAGGTGCGGATCACTAACCATCCAGTGCCTTGGGCATCCTCCTGACGTGAAAAGCTCTATACAAATGTAATTTGTTGTTGTTGTTTGTGACTAAATTTATCCCCTAGAGACAGGTTTTCAGAATTTTTTTTTTAAAAGTGTGCTTTTGATATTTCTATGACTAAATGTTTCTGTGGAGACCTTTTTTTTGATTGAGGTTGTAATCAATAACAGTATGCAAGGGCAGAACAAAATGGTAATCAACTCGTTCAACAGTACTGATGACCAGAAAAATGTTTACATCAAGAGAAGAAAACAAGCTAAAAGAAAACAGTTAAAAATCAGGGACTGGCAAAGTTCTGTTTTCTTTGAGGATGATGTGATATTTTCCATGACATTATGATGTCGCTTTGTGTCACATCCTTGTCAACTTTGGCAAGATTGTCTCACACCTGTTTATTCACCTAACTTGGAGAAAAGGCTCATATCATAATATTTATCAGTCATTTATCAGACTGATTCATCAATAGGGTGACTGTTGTATTGAGCACATTCCCCAAATAGATCCTTTAGATCTGTTGTATGTTTCTGTCAGCTACAGTTTCTTTCTTGTATGAGAATATATATATATAAACACATATAATAGGGTGGCATCTTGGCTCAGTCATAAGGTTGTGGGTTCAAGTCCTATGTTGGAACTTTGAACTCACAATCGAGGTTAACACTCCAATACAGTGCTGTAGTGTGCTGCGTTGCCGTTGGTGCCAACCTTCAGAGTAGACGTAAAACCAAGGTCCCATCAATCTGCCTGTTCAGGTGGACGTTTAACATCCCAAGGCACCATTCGAAAAAAGAGAAGGGAGTTTCTCTGGCTAACGCTCTCTCCAGATAAAACTAGTCAATCTCTTCGTGGCTCTTTTTGGGACATTACTGTGCGCAAATTAGCTGCCATGTTTGCCCACAAAACACACCATCACTACACTTTACCTGTGAAGCTTTTTGAGACGTCCACCCGATATGAAAGGTACTATAGCAAATGTAAGGATTATTATTTATTATTTTAGAAACTCATTTATATTCGGCATTCTATACTTAATTAGCGATATTCTATTAAATTATGTATTTATTTATTAATTTGCTTATTTGTAGAGCTGGGATGTGAACCTGGAAAGAATTGCTAAGGAATACGCACCAAAGTGTGTGTGGGTCCACAATTCTGGAAGAGGACGTACAGGAGAAAACCTGTATGCGACCACTGAGAAATTGAATGTGGAGGAAGGAGTGCGAGCCTGGGCGAGAGAAGCAAATTATTATACTTATGAAAGCATGACTTGTGAAAAAGGCAAAATGTGTGGGCACTACACACAGGTATGGAACTTTATTTCGCCCACAAAATACACAGTCAATCCACTTTACAGTATATCCTGTGAAGCGCTTTGAGACAATACAATACAATGCAAAATGGGGCGGCCGGCCAGGGGGATGTGGAGCAGGACGGAGCCTGCTGGGTGGTAGGGAGCGGACAGGTTGATATTGGGGCGTTTCAAGAAGCAATAACGTAAGCAACTTTAAGCCAGTGAGTTTAAACCTCTGGGATTTCCACGGGTAGGAGGGATTCATGGAATTCCTAGTTTGGTTTAAGCACGGTGATGTTTTCGTTTTACAGGTTATATGGGCCACGACTGACAAAGTGGGCTGTGCTGATCAGTTTTGTGAAACAGTGAAAGGCCTGCCTTACAAAAAGCTCTCTTTTCTGGTCTGCAACTATTTACCTCCGTAAGTACGAGTATTGGTGAACACTTTTGCCATTGCTGCTTCTTGCCTGCAAACATTACATGTGGTAATGAATGATAATGTTCAATTATATCCTTTAAATTCATAAACTACAGGGTATCGCTCTGACTGATGATGGGTTTGATCACTGTGATGATTCGGGAACGGGATTTCCCATAACGGGGGGTGAATTTAGGTAAATTCTGGAAGCTTAGAAATATCGAAACAGGACTAGGCTATTCAGTCCCTCAAGCCTGTTCCACCGTTCTATAAGATCATGGCTGATCTGTACCTCAAGTCCAATTATCCAAACTTGCCTCATATCCCTTAATATCCTGACTTATCAAATTCTGTTAGGAAATGTCACAAATGTCTCCCCTAGAAGCTCACATCATAAAAGTATACTAAACATATCATCCTGCTGTAAGTACCGCAAGTAAATATTGCAGAATAAAGCAAAGAGGTAAGGGTACACATTCACCCTGCAAAGTCCCCCTCTAAGGTTGGCAAAGTTTTTTGATTCTATCATATTTCTATTTCAGAGGTAACATATTGTACCATAAACCATATAATAAAGGAACTCCCTGCAGTGAATGCCCAGATGGATTTACATGTCATAGAAACCTTTGCAGTGAGTATCCCTTTGTGCAACACTTAGTGTTGTTTGAGTACTGCTGTGTTCCTTATGTGTTAAGAATCATATTGAAGATGTTCTAGATTGACTATTAGTCATTTTCCCATCACTTAAAATAAATGAAAAGCAGTGAAGTCTCCATTATGCAACTATTGGTGGTTTCAATCCACAACTGTTTGCGGGACACTACGGTGGGTAATTGGCTGCCGTGTTTTGCCCACAAAATGCAGTCACTGCACTTTACAGTATGTCCTGTGAAGCACTTTGGGATGTCTCAAAAGAGGTTTTCAGGCACTATCAAACGCAAGGATTATTATTATTATTGTCATGGCTCAGTTGTACCAGTGATTATTGCCCGTGGTAAAATAGTTTGTACATACAATTATTCTGCTGACATTCTGATATTCTGCGACAATCTGTTGCCTCTGAAATAGAAGTGCTTTGAGATGCGACACTGTGTGGAGGGTGCTATATAAGTGCAAGTTGTTGTTGTTGTTGACATTGTGTACTCATTTTGCAAAATGTAAATAAATTATGAACTGGCATCCAAATGCTAGATATCATTTCATGTTAGATTCTTCACTAACCTTACAAATCGTAAAAAACATAGATATGTGCAACATATTAGGAAGCCACATGGTCTCTTTTTAGATGTCAATGTTGGCTCCTCCATCAAGCCACCCATGCTAATCCCAATTCCCTACTCTTTTCTCATACCCCAAAGTACCATCTTCTGCGGTGTGATTGACCTTTTATATATATATAATACCCCAATTGACTCTTCTTTACAATTTAACTATATCATAGAACTTTACAGAGCAGAAGGAGGCCAATCAGCCCATCAATTGACAGTGGCTCTCAGAGAAAATTGTGCATTTAAGCCCATTGCCCATTCCTATCCCCATATCCCTTCACGTCTTTATCTTTCAAATGCTTTTTCACTTTCCTCTTGAAACCCACAATGGACCCACCATCTTACTTACCGTGGCATTCCACGTCCCAACAACTCTGTAACTGGCCAAGTTACAAAGAAATGTGTTGAACTGACCACCTTTCTTAATGTTAAACATAAATTAATGAACGTTATTCGAGTAACTTCTACTATTCCGCTAAGCATTTTAACGACACTCCCCGATTTTGTTTATTCAAACATTTTCAATGTGACGACCTTAATACTTTCGTCCTATTTTTAACAGCCGTTGCAAAGAAAGGGAGCAAGGGAAATAAGGAAAAAGAAGCCAACAAGAAAGGTAAGACTTCAACAACAACAATAACAACCATTTGCATTTATATAGTGCCCTTCACGTGGGGTAGCGTCCTGATGCACTTCACAGTGACGGAGTCTGACAATGAGCCAGGGGGAGAAGAAGGGGGGAAGTGATTAAAAAGGAAGGTCTTTAGGTGGGATTTGAAGGTGGGGAGGAAGGGGGCATGGCGGAGGGATTGAGGCAGAGAGTACCAGAGTTTTGGGATGTAGTGGCTGAAGGCACGGCCACGGATGGTGGAACGGAGAACACGAGGGACAAATGGGAGGCTGGAGCCAGCTGAGCGGAGATAGTGGGTTGTGGAGCGGGGGTGGGGGGTAAGCAGGTCAGACAGGTTGGGAGGTGCGAGGGAATGAAGTGATTTGAAAACGAGGATCAACTTCAACACTGTTCTCCAGTTCTGTCCTGATATTGATGAGTTGAGTATATGTGACAGACTTGATATTCCTGTTTGGTATTCCCTTCAAATCCGGTTCCAATCAAAAGACTCTGCAGTATACCAAGCCACTATTGATTGTAGACTAGCCAGCGTGACTTCTCAGTGGGACTTGAGAGGAGAAGACCAGACATTGGAAGCTCGGGAATCCTCACACTTTGCTCCTGTTAACCCTGCAAACCACAGCCCTAATGGTTACAGTGACCTTAGCTCAAGAAACAGCAGGAAGCTTTTTCCAAGATTGGGTGAGACCAGACAAATAGAAATTTCCGTGCAGTTGGGTTTGGATACTCAAGCATGGCGATGAGTTTCCACGTATGTTAAAACATCACCCAAATAAAACATAGCCGACATAAAGCCAAAGCAGTGTGGAACAATAAACTTGACGTTGTATCCTTGTGACCTCTCATAGCCCAGGCACCTTAAACTGCAGCTGACATGTAGTGTTTCCACCGGTTTCATCTGAAACTCGGATTGAGTTTTATGTAATTATGCTGAACATTTTTTAAATACGAAACATAATTTAAATATTTTGCTATAATTGAGGACCTTACACGTTACATCTTATTTTGTTTCACCCACAAAATGTGCAGTCAATTCACTTTACAGTATATTCCCGTGAAGCGCTTTGAGACGTCTCGAAGAGGTGATAAGGCGCTATATCAAATGCAAGGATTATTATTATTATTATTATTTTCAACAGGAAATAAGGATCGGGAAGAGCATGGTAAGAATTCATCGCTGTTCTCTTGTTATGTTCTAATCCTTGTACTATTAACGGTTAATATCTGTGTTTCAAGCAATAGATTGGTGATTACTACAAAAATGATTGTTCTCTTGGTGTAAACGTCAAGCTTCCTAGTGTGGGAGTGTTTTTAATATCATGTTAATTTTCTTTTTAAAAAGTTACAATATGAGGAGCTTATAACTTTCATCCTATTTTCAGAAAATACTGAAATAGAAGCAACCATCATTGGTAAGAATTAAGCTCTATGTTCTCTTGCAACTCCTTTAAACATTGATCGTTCGAGGAAAATATAAATCACATCTAATTCCGTGTACTGTTGAACGTGTTGAAGGCTGCAGCATGAGCATCCTACCGGCCGGCCAGGTCCCTCACACTTACTGCCGCACCATTGGCGGTCGGGCATTCAGCATCTCTGCCCCCACACTCTGAAACTCTATCCCGCAATCCCTCCGCCTCACCCCCTCTCTTGCCTCCTTCAAGTCCCATCTAAAGACCTTCCTCTTCAACAGTGCCTTCGGCCACCCTCCCACCCCCACCCCCCCTTGACCTCCACCTTTCCTGACCCCAACTCCCAGCTCGGGTCCATAAACCCCCGATTGTCCAGTGCCCTGGGATGTCTTTCTGACGTGAAGGGGGCTATACAAGTGTAATTTATTGTTGTCGTTAACACCCTTATGTTTTTTTTCAAAACAGAAGAAGGTGTACATTATACTACCGTCCAAGGTAGGAATTCTCTCATTCTGCTCCCACATTCCTAATTCTACACCAATTTGCATTTTGGCTCAAGTTAAGAGAGCATTGATTGCAGCAGGAACAAACACACTTATTGTGATGTTGCCTTTGTGTTGCCAAGTCTTTGAGCTTAATATTAACTATGAAAGCAGTTAGGAAGGAATGTCGAGGTTGAACCCAGTTCAAAAGAAAGAAATGTCTGGCAGAGCGCTTGTTTCGCCCACAAAATATACAGTCAATTCACTGTATGTTATGTGAAGCGCTTTGAGGGGTCTCGAAGATGTGATAATGTGCTATGTCAAATGCAAGGATTATTATTGTTGTTTGTTGGTTGATGTTGATTTTTCTGATTAATCCTGGATGAAGTTTCGCACAACGTTCTTACTTCTTTGTCACGACCATAAAACATTGAACGTGGTGGAAAGTGTAAATGAGGCTATCTTTTTATTTATTTATTTTTAAATTTAATTTTTATTAATTGTGCGCAATTGTCTGCTGGGTTTCGCCCACAAAATGCACAGTCCATTCACTTTACAATGTATTCTGTGAAGTGCTTTGAGAAGTCTCAACAACGTGATATGGCTCTGTATCAAATGAAAGGATTATTATTATTATTATCATTATTATAATCTTGTCTTCTATGGTGCATATTGCTGGCTGTGTACCATTTTCTTACTATAGAAGGCTACAGTGTAGAATCTAACTAACTACCTTCATCGTTTTTGTTTGAACAGCAAAAAAGACACATGATGTTACCATCAAAAGTAAGAATTCTACACTGTTCTCCAGCTCTGTTTTTACACTGTCTATTTTATGGAAACATAGAAACAGGAGTAGATTATTCAGTCCCTCAAGCCTCTTCTGCCTTTTTATAAGATCATGGCTGATGTGTACCTCAAGTCCAGTTACACACCCTTGCCCCATATCCCTTAATACCCTGACCTAACAGATATCTATATAAAAACATCAGTTGCAAAGAATCGGTGTGATTTTTACCTTGTTGCCCTGATGAGAATTCTTCTTCCTGCAATTTAGTGAGGTATTACTAGTACCAATTCTTGTACTAAATTTGTACTGAATTGGAGAAAATTAGTGTTGTGTCAATCAGCTCTTTACTAAGTATAAAGTACAAAGGATGATCCATCGAACTTTCTGATGCCTATTTCATTTTTACCTTTCAAAATGTTCCATTAGCACGGCTTTAATTTAATTTAATTTAATTTGCACGATTCAGCACCTTGGGATACAAAAAGGCGCAATACAAAACTAATTTGTCGTTTGTTGTTGTTGCTGTGTGAAGCCAAAGCCAGATGAGCCAACACACCTGATATTTTGTCACCTATTTTTCTCATCCCAAATATGTGGCCAAAACGTCCTTACAGTTTTATAAGACCACGTTGTCTTAAAATGTAAGATCGCACAGGATTGTAGGCAAAAAAATCTTACATTTTGTCTTGATTTTTCCATAGTTCTTAAAAAGAACCAGCTTCCATATTAGCTTGAATTCAGGAATATTGCCCAATTATGTGCACTCTTAATTGAAAGACGACAGATAAACTGCTGTAGAAATACCTATTTAAGGCTACTTTATAGAGATTTCAGTGTGAGGAACTCACCTTTCATCCTACAGGATTCCTGTAGCTCAGTGGTTAGAGCACTTGCCTCGCAAACGAGAGATGTGATGCCCGGCAGGGCAAAACCTTGGGCAAATTTCCTCACTGCACACACCTGATAATAATCCCTCAAGAAAATAAAAACAATAGTAAAATTGGTCACTTCAACCCACACTGCAATTGGTTGCAGTTTCATTTCGCCCACAAATATACAGTCAATTCACTTTACAGTATATTCTGTGAAGCGCTTTGAGACATCTAAAATACGTGAAAAGCGCTATATCAAATATAAGAATTATTATTATTTTTCCACAGTTATCAATGGAAACGGAAGTTACTACACATCTGCTGGTGGGAAAAGGGTACCATTCTCCGGTTCTGTGCTGATACTCGTACTGTTAGCAGTTCTGAATTCTGCGTAAAGCAAGAAAAGAGCAAGAACATCAGCAGCAAGAACGAATGTTCTCTCAATGTGACTTTGTCAGATTTATCTCTGATCAGAGTTACTGCTTGTAGTAGTTTACAATGGTGCATCCATCAGTAGGAAATGTAATGATCATGACCGGATATTCATATTCTAAAAGTTGTATAAGAGAATGTTCATTTCTCAAGTCTGCTGGTTGTATTACTTAGTTTACATGGTTATTTTACTTAGATCCGAATGTCGTAGGTTGCAGTTTAATATTCGTACATCAGGTCTCCTCTAAACCTCCGAACCATAAACAATAGCTGGTGCTGTGTACACAGGAACATGGGAACATAGGAACAGGAGGAGGCCATCCAGCCCTTCGAGCCAGTTCCGCCATTTAATTAGATCATGGCTGATCTGTACCTCAACTAATCCTTTCAATCCCAATTTCCCGCTTTCTCCCCATATCCCTTAATACCCTGACCTACCAAAAATGTAGGTCTTTGAATAATGTGTACATTGAACACAGTGATTGCTCAAACTTTAATTCTCTACCATCAAAATCCGTACAATGGTGGGACTTCAACACAGCCAGGAACACACGTATTCTCTAGGCAATACCATAAATGTTTTGTCTACAGGCCAATGATCAACCACTCCAAATACCAAGTGTAAAATCTTGAACACAGCATATATTAACGATAATGTTAAAAACATGTTCAACATATTGAAATCTGAGAAAAAGTGCTGAATTTTAAACATGTATAATTACGCTGAAAGTATGATCGCGCACAAATTTAAATTATCCATCGGTAAGTCTTCCTACATTGTAGAGAATGATTTGAAAGCAATATGTAACAAAGTTTTGTGGTATTTTATCAAAGGTTATTGAAAGTCGAAGTACTCTTCTGCATCACAGATCTTAATCACCATCAATTTGGGGATATCATCTTAAAATTTCTATTTGGAGTAGGCAAAGGTGTATTTCTTGTGAAGCTGTGTTGGTTGTCATTTAGTTTATTTGATTTTCCAATGACTGAAGTCAACCCAAAGGCTCCGTGATTGACACATGTGGTTTGATCACCATTCCTGAATAGGGGAACCACCATTGCTTGTTTCCAGTTTGGTAAAATCTCCACAATGTTAATTGATTTGCTCTACATGACTGTCAAATTCACGACTGTTTGTGGAACGCTGCTGTGCGCAATTGACTGCCACGTTTCGCCCACAAAATATATAGTCAATTCACTTTGCAGTACATTCTGTGAAGCACTTTGAGACGCCTCGAAGATGTGATGAGACTTTATTATCCAAGCCAAAGATTATTATTATCGTTTTACATATATCTTTCCTTCTTCTCTTCCCAAGTAGCCTGGTGAACAATCACATTGTGCAGGAATTTTTTTTCAATCCGTTAAAGCCATTCAGAATGGCTTTACCGAGTTAGCAAGGTAGTTAAAACCTAAAATTTTGCCAAGATTAATCCTCATAAAATTCAGCTTTAAACTCTTGAGTACTAAAGCACTTCCTGAATGCCTTTAAAACCCATCTGGGATAAAACATAGAAGTAACATTTCGAGCCTCTTTGACTCATTCGGATATTAATGATTTTGTAAAGGAAGGTTGTGTGTGCTCGTTGGCACAAGGTGTGTTGTTTTACAAACCCAATCAAAAGGCATGTGGCCAATACCGAGGGTCAGCCTGGCACATAGATGGCCCTCTTGTGTCAAACGGTTGTGGGTTCAAGCCCCTCATCGGGACTTGGAATCACATAGTCTTAGCTGGCGCTCCAGTCAGTGCTGGGGATGTGTTGCATTGTCAGAGGCGCTGTCCTTCAGATGAGATATTAAACCGAGGTCCAGTCTGCCTGTTCGGGTGGACAATAAAGATCCCATAGCACAATTCCTGGCCAACAATTCCCCCAAATAAAATTGGTTATTCACTTTGTGGCCGTTTGTGGGACATTGCTGTGCGCAAAATTGGCTGCCTCGTTTCGCTGCCAAAAAAACATACTCTAAATCGGTTTACAGTATATCCTGTGAAGCATCTTGACGACATGATAAGGCGCTAAATCAAATGCAGGGATTATTATAACAGAATGGTGCAGCTTTTTGGGGAAGGCTATGTGGAAGAAATAAACCGACATGCTGCATGTGGGGAGAAATAAATACTGTTACAATCAATAAATGTTCGAACGTGTTCTTTTTGTCTATGTGCAATTCATTCCGTGAGATGCAACTTACACCGCGTAACACTGGCTACATTTCCGAATATTGTTTCGAAGTTAACAGTGCTCTGGTAACTTGCCCAATTCCAATAATCTATCTCTGACGTTTTCATGCGTAAGTGGGATACATGGAACTCTCAGTTTGGTTTGGATACTCTTAATCATGGTGATGGGTTTCCCCATGTGTCAGACACCCGGCTGTCCAAAGAAAAATTGTCATTCCAGGCTCAATAGGGTGAATGCTTTTTCTCAGCACTTTCGTTTCTATGATTCTCAGTGCAAACCTGGATTAAACACCAGGTGATATTTCCCTACCCTTTCCTGGATTACTAACAGCAACTATAACACACTATCTTTGCCTTGACTGCAAGTCACTGTCTGCAGAGACCGGGAACACAATCTGCAAACATCAGAACTGTATTGTTTTGTGCTGAAAAACGTGATCCTGTGAAACAGTTAATGTTCTCTACACTGAAGTGTTCTTTTTCATTGCTCAGGAATGAATCACGCTTCTAATCTCATTAAATGCTGAAAATTCCTTACTTTGAATATATCTGCTCAGCTTATTCTTCCGCACTACTTGATCTTCTTGTTTGTCTGAACTATGTAGTGCAAGTGAACCGGTGTACCAAGACAGTGTAACACCAGTCTGCAAATAAACAGGTAAAGAAATATCTTTTAAAATATTTAAAGTACTTAATTTCACAAGGGTGTGATTGAATGACTATTTAATGAGTTGTTGATGATTTATTTTCTGACCAAACCAGTCTCGCTTATAAATCTACTTCGCCTGAAGATTTGTAAACGGTACCCATCTTTTCTCAAATCGCCATTATTTTCTTCTCGTTACCCATTACAGGAGGGGTTTGCGTTCAACACACAACATGTTTAGCATCCATTTGCTCCTAGTAATCATTGGGACAACAGCCCTTCCAAGTGTCGGGACGTTTCAGCATGCTAAAGGTCCCATTGTGCGAACTGCCTTTGGCCTTGTGAGGGGCACTCAGAACTCCAGGTCACAGAGTTTTTATGGCATCCCTATGCAGACCCACCAACCGGCCAGTACAGATGGAAGTATCCTCGCAAGCTGTCACCGTGGATAGGAATATACAATGCTCTGTACCCCCGAGCAGGATGTACCCAAGTCTGCAATCAACCTCCTTTTGCATGCCCTCTGCAAGTAAGTGGCTTTCGTACCATTTGTCTGAATATGACCAAGTGAAATTGGTCTCTTCAATCCACGGCTGTTTGTAGGACACTGCTGTGCGCAATTGGCTGCCGTGTTTCGCCCACAAAATATACAGTCAATTCACTTTATAGTATATTCTGTGAAGCGCTTTGAGACGTCTCGAAGGCGCGAGTGATAAGGAGCTATATCAACTGCAAGGATTTTTATGTTGTTTAAGGGGACATCACTTTTACATTGTAAAATCTGGTTCACAGGATTTTAACTTTTTTAAGTCACTTCAGGCAATGGCATAGACAACGGCTGGGGAATGAGGGGGTCGCTAATAACAACTCAATTACTTTTTTGTCTGTTTGTTTGAAAGCCTGCATGATACTTCTAGAAATTGTGCATAAGAGAACTTGGGGATTGGTATGATAGTTTTAAACGCTTGAAAGTAGAAAGGTCTTGTTAGAAATTATGTAATCGGGTCAATGTTGCCTATTTTTCTAAATATCTTTTAGCCACAAAGTCTTCAAATTCATGTATATTGTATGTCATTAGTAGGGATATAAAGCATCCGGAAAGCAATTGACAATTTCCTTCGGACCCAGGAAGAACTCCAAGTTGGTTCTATCCACCAGGAGACACTTAGTGAGATAGAATCCCAGTCTTTGGTAAGATCAGTAGAGAGACAGAGTGAAAAGTGATGAAAGTTGTTGTATTTGTCAGTCTGTACCGATTAATATCATTGATTTCTGATGACCATGTCTACAGTGTTTGCTTCTTTCAAACCTAGATCAGTGAAGACTGCCTATATCTGAATGTCTTTGTGCCCTTGGCCGTGAATGTGTCTTCCCTTCCTAAAGTGCTTCTTCCAGTCATGGTGTGGATTCACGGGGGCAATTTCAAAGATGGTGCGGGCTCAGCTTTACTGTTTGACGGAAGGTTTTTTTCTAACCTGACTTACACCATTGTGGTCACCATTAACTATCGACTGGGTAAGACTCTCCTCGTTCATTTCAATTTAAATTCTTTAAATTAAATTCACTTCACAGTATATGCTGTGAAGCGCTTTGAGACGTCTTGAAGATGTGATAACGCGCTATAGCAAATGCAAGGATTATTATTATATTATTATATTGGTCAGATCTCGATCTGCAAAAAGCATCATTACACTAGAATTGTTGAATCCAAGGGATTGTTTTGTCCAGTGTCCGAAAGTCATGGACTCTTTTATCCAACATTTAGGTTTGAATGTGATCCAGTGAGAGAGAGGCTACTGTTTTTGTTAAAATGTGCCTCATAATTCCTTTTTCATTTGTTTGACAAACAATGTAGTGCCAGTGATCAATAGCGTTGAAAACTATTTTCCGTAACATGTTTAACACAATTTTACGTTGGTTCATTACGTGCACCTTGAACTTTGTATTAATTCCAAAGTGTTTGCACATCACGGGATCCTTTGCAAAGATAATAATCCACATTCCTGCAGCTTTGCATACTTCCTGGTATTTAGTTTATTCTGCATTTGAGAAGTTAATGGCCTTGTACCAGCTCCCAGCCATGCAATTTTTGCCAACGTCCCACAAACAGTCGTGGATTGTGCGACTAAATTATTAATGTTGTTATATATGCAGGTTCTACCCCTTCTGTTCATTAAGTGCTTCCGGATTTAAAAAATATATATTCCCTTTTCGTTATGTCTTTTTTCCTTCCTGCAGCACCAAGGTTTTGTGGTGCAACAGTGTCTGCGAAATTTTTTTAATTAAAAGATCATGACATTAGTTGGCAGGACGGGATGCATTCCTTTTTTATACAGAGAGGGACATTTATTTCATAGACCTTCACAAAATAAGATTAGTCCAGCAGCAGAATTTGGATGGAGAGAGGTTTGAGGAATCCCATAATTGGCAGCGCACAGTAATAGTAATCCTCACATTTGATATAATAATAATAATAATCCTTGCATTTGATATAGCGCTTTTCACGTCGGGAGTCCCAAAGCGCTTCACAGAATAGACTGTAGAGTGAATTGACTGTATATTTTGTGAGTGAAACACAGCAGCCAATTGCGCACAGCAGTGTTCTTGTGTATTATAAAGAATTGCAATGTACCTTCGGGAGGATAATCAAGTCGTACTTTGCTGTTTCAGGAGCCCTCGGCTTCCTTGTCACAGGAAACAATCCGGAAACATCTGCTACTGGAAATTATGGGTTTTTTGACCAGCAAACAGCACTCCTGTGGATCCAACAGAATATAATGGCCTTTGGTGGTGATCCAAACAAGGTTAAGAAGTGTATATGTGTGTGGGGGCGAAATCTCTGCAGTAAATGTTACATTTTTGATTTGAAGATAAACCAGGAAAGGTGACACATTTTATTAACATCCTGGGAGTACGTGAGATGAGGTTCTTTTCTCTTTGTTTTGTCTGACTATTCAGATCATCAGCCTTAACGTGAAAATAAGAGTAGTGCAAGTTCCTGTGATTTCTTACTGTTGTATCATTGCACTGTAGGTGACACTATTTGGTCAGAGTGCAGGGGCTCAGTCTGTGGCTTTGCACCTCACTGTACAGAGCAGTGAGCTGCTATTCCAACGAGCTATTGTGGAGAGCCTTCCATTCTCACTGCGTTTAAAAACAAGGTACACTTTACATTTCCTAAGACAGTATGTCTGACTGGCTCATTGTCAATTTCTCTTAAGGACAACATCAATCCAAGCAGAAGGTGCTAAAAAGTCTTCTCCCTAAAAAAAACAATCTAGATCAATGAACGAAATGTAGAATGGGACAATATCCCTAAATTATTATTATTATTATTATTATTATTATTATTATTATTATTAAATAATGGGTGTTTATGTTCATACCAATGATTTCATTCAACATTTAATAGTCTGGTCAAAAATACACAATTAATTATAAATTTCAGTACTTCTTGCTTGACTTATGTTTGCTCAAAGGAGGTAGAGCATGAAAATATAGAACTAAATATTTATTATGTTAAATTACAGGCAGATTGCTTGCTAAAGTCCGCCACTGGAGGTTCCCACTGAGCTAACAACATATTGCAGCGTCCTCAAGTGACAGAAAAGTAAACTGCAGTAATGACATTTGCTACAGTAATTGCTGTATTTTTTGTAGCTCCCAAATAAAGGGGAGGTTGGTTTCAAACTTGTGAAATTTTCAATTAAACCAAACAAGTAACTTTGACGAAAGATGTGATTGTGTTACAAGCAACTGTAATAGTACAAGCAACCAATGTGAGTGATCGTTTATTTCTGATAAGAAAGAATAAAATTTGGTTTCATTGAAAATACACTGAATTGAAAATATGAAAACTGTGTTGGCCAAATATCTCAGTTAGTTTGGTGAACTGAGATGTGGGAATCATAACCTATTGTTCCTTTTAATAAGGTATCAAAAAATAATACAGAAGCTTTAAAACCCTTAATAAAGCACATGCTCATTATAAACATGCTGCAAATATTCCCTTGTGCAAGTCTATCCCCAACGCAATAGTAATTCTATACACAACATTTGATAACACTTGATATAAATGAAATTGCCATATAGGGAAGGTGAGTTGTAACACACCGTATTTTTTTTTTCTCTTTATCCAGGACAAATGCTATTAAACTGGGAGAATATTTTTCAAAACTCGCAAATTGCTCCACACAGGGTCTGGCTTGTTTAATGGCCCTGACACCAAATGAGATAATTGCAGCCCAGATTAAAGCAGGTAAACTCCATTTCACTATCAGACATATGATTTGAATAGGAATCACACAAAAGGTAGCCAGCCCATTATTGCCCTGTCGAGTTCTACTTGTTAGAGCAGTAATCCCACCATTGAGAACAGGGGACAAATAGTATATTGCGCAGGCGACGTTTGGAATCAAAGTATTGATAATAAGGCACTGCCATGATATTTCTTCTTAAAAGAAAATCAGTGCTTTGAAAGCTTCACGAAAAGGGATGCTGTAAATTGTAGACATTGAGGGAGAGGGAGTAGAGATTAGGAGGGTTAGATTATAAACACTGCACAGACTAGTCAGATTATAAACACTGCACTGCACAGACTACTGTAGAATCCAAATGCAAGTTCAGATAATTGATTCCTAATTGAAATACACATCAAAAGCCTTAACCCTGCCTATCACTGTCAGACACTGATTAACCTGCTGTGGATTTCCCAATAGTTTTTTCAGATTTCTAGCATCTAATAATAAAATAATAATTTGGTCACTCAATCCACGACTGTTTATGGGACACTGCTGCGCGCAATTGGCTGCTGCATTTGGCCCACAAAATATACAGTCAATTCACTTTACAGTATAGTCTATGAAACGCTTTGAGACATCTCAATGACGGGATAAGATGCTATATCAAATGCAATGATTATTATTATTATTATTATTATTATCTGTATTCACCTTTTACTTTTCTTCTGTTAACACGGAGTATATGAAATTGTACAAATTCTATAAAAAGTGTCAAAAGGTGTTTAATGCGTAATTTTGGGGGTTTACTTTCCTGACCAGCGAGCGAGGACATAAATCCATTTGAGGTAGTGGAAGCATTCCAACCCTGGGGGCCAAATCTTGATGGAGAAACCATCCAAGAGGAAACTGTGTTGGCTTTCATTCAAACCAGATGGCAGAAGGGAAAACCCATTATGTTAGGTATGTGTACACAGGTATGAAGCTCTGGCAATTCCAAATGATGCATGCAGCACCACGACAGATTAGGAAAACAATGGAAAGAATTTCTGTTGTGCTTTGCAATAGTTTTCATTACAAAATACTGGTTGTCAGACCCGTGTTAGTAAACTGAGCCCTGATAGTTTGATTGTCTTGCATGGCGTTTGTTTTCTGGAATCTGACTACAGTACTCCCGAAATGTAACAGCAACTCTCTCCTTAAAGCAAAGAGGTAAGAGTTCAAATGAAGCAGAAATGAAGATATTCTTGTAACATGTCAGATTGGGTCATATGGGGGGGGAAAAAAATGGACCTTACTTGAATATATTGCCTATTTTAGAGATCAATATATTTTATGCCAATATGAACCTAAAATTATCAGTTTCAAACTATTTAATGCATCCTCTTTGAAATTTGTTTTTGACTGTTCTCAACCTTCAGGTAAAACTATTTGACTCTGTATGAAAAAAATCACTTTTAAATAGAATTACTTTAGAGGTGCAAGTTGTTGTGTTGTTATTACCGTATTACACCATCAAAACATTATCCCCAGTAATGCTACATTGCATGAATAAAAGCAGCCATCTGGAACCATTAATTAACCATTAGCAACTCTCAAACGCTTTGTGGGCGTCCTCCCAACGCAAAAGTCACTGCATAAGTGTTGTAAATTGTATCCTGCGTTGTATTGTTATTTTTTCAGGAACAACCACAGAGGAGGGAATCCTATTCATATATAAGGCTCTTTCAAGTCCCGTGTCTAAGGCTGCATACTTTGAATACTTATCACTTGTGTTCAATAGACACGCTCCTTGGATCGTTCTCGAATATCCCCCTCTCCAGACACATGATCAGCGCCAGCTCCTTGCAAAGGTAAGGGATCAAAATGCATCTTCACAGTGGCAGTCTTAACAGTAAATGTCATCTGAATAAAACTCAACCTTCTTTTTCAGTGTTGCTTTGAATAAATTTCAGAATAGTAACCTACAACAACAACAACAACAAATTGCACTTGTATAGCACCCTTCACATCGGAAAGACATCCCAGGGCGCTGGACAATCAGGAATTTTGGACCCGAGCTGGGAGTTGGGGTCAGGAGGGGTGGAGGGCAGGGGGTGGTGGGGTTGGGAAGCTGGTTGAAGGCACGGTTGAAGAGGAAGGTCTTTGGATGAGACTTGAAGCAAGGGAGAGAGTAAGGAGGGAGCGGACAGGCTGATAGGGGGTTCGGAGTCACAGAGGTAGGGATTCTAATGTATTCTTGTATTATAATATACAGTATAACCAATATACAGTATTGTAGAACACAGGATAACCAGTAACAAGAACTCTGCCTCCTATAATGTTCATCTTTAATTCTCTGATTTTGTTTTCTTAGGTATCCGCTGACTACGTCTTTCTTTGTCCAACACGGAAAGTTACTCAGTCGATCACTCGTGTGGGCAGTCCTGTTTGGCTTTACGTCTTTAGTTATAAGGCCTTTGCATCTAAGGCCTGGGGAAACAAAACATACTGTTACAATCATGTCTGTCACGGGTCTGAGCTGCCATTCGTGTGGGATACTGTCAGTCTTATGAACTACACTTTCACTCCTGAGGAACAAACACTGGCGAATTATATGATGTGTTTCTGGGGTAACTTTGCTCACCATGGTAATCCCAATTCCCGTAAGGATCATGGCAAGTTCTCTGAGCTCTGCACTCTCCAACCAGTAATAAACTGGCCACAGTACACACTTCAGAACTCCTGGTTTTACTTGAACTTCACATTGCCACCTAATGTTCAGGGAGACTTCCACAGAAAACACTGCGATTTCTGGGACAAGCTCAACATTTATTAGTGCGTGAAGTCTGCCAAATCTGATGAAAAAATATTTTAGCAGTGAAATATGCTTTTCCCTGCATCAGAAAATTGTTCGGCCAAACACAATCCATGCAAACTGAGCACCTTCAATTCAATGTGTTCCTTGACAAATAAACAGAATACAAGAGAGAGATTGTCTGGTGGCTGAATACAAGGTCTTGAATATTTCCACGTAATCTGAAAATTTGTGAAGCAATAAATCAGGATTTACATCCAAACAATATAGGAACAAGACTGGAAATGTGTGCAATGCACATTTAGTACCACTAGTCATATCTGATGCTTTTATAACTGCTCGTTTTTGTAGTCGAGAACAAGTAACACCACAACAAATCTTGTTTTGCTGTGTCTCTGTAGAGTTTTTATATTATAATATTTTGATTATTGTTATTACTAAATCCCAAAGTAGTTAGAGTTGCTACGGAGCAAGGACGGGTAATTGGACTTGAAGTACAGATGAGCCATGATCTTAAAGAAATGGTGGAACAGGCTTGAGGGACTGAATGGCCTACTCCTGTTTCTGTGTTTCTTTGTCTTAAATAGAGTTCACGAGTGCCTTGAACATAATTTTTTTTTAAATGATTGACATTTGAGCATAGGTAATTGGTGCATGTATGAGGGAAAAGGGGTTAGGAAACTTGTGGAGTATGAACAACAGCGCAGACTAGTTGGGCCAAATGGCATGTTTCTGTGATGATTCAGAAGATTTAAACATTTTATTTTTACCCACATGCATGGGTACCATTGCTTTATAAGAAAGGAATGACGGCATTTTAAATCTCGGGGTTCAAGCCAAGGTCTCTTAGATAAAGGAAACAGCTTTATATCCATTGTGTGTTTACATTTTCCATATAAGGTACAGTTAAGTAGTGGAATGGGCAGCTTTCGACCAGCAAAGTTTAACAGCATAAGTGCCTGTCGTATGGAAGAATCTACCTTTCACAGTCAAATGTCCTCTACAGTTCTTACGACAGTACTTGAAAGTCACCAAGTTCCAACCTCCTCAAATGTAGAACTCATTAAAATAGAACGCTTGAACAGCACATCAAACTTGATTTGCTTTTCTAAGACTTTGCTTGTACAAACAGCAAGGGGATTTAACTAAACCATGCAGAGCAACATCATAGCTCTGGTATTTCCAGCATAAGCAATCACAATATCCTTTTGCGAAAACGGTTTTCTTGCATCATTTACAGTCAATCAAGTGTAACCTTGTTCTTGTATTCCTAAACTAACACGATGTCAAAAACAACATCATTTGTCTTTGGTTTTTACTCATCGGCAAGTTTACTATTGACAGAATATCAGCAGCACGAGTTGGCTAAACAGCTGCACTAACTCTTCACCTTTAACAAACCCTGATTTGAATCTAGCCCAGGGGAAGCTGAACTGCTCCACTTACTGACAGCTGTTGACTGTCCTTCGTGAACCTAATCCGTTCAGTTCATTAGGCTGGACAGTGTAGAAACCTGTTCATGGGACTAAACCTCATTATGTTGGGTGTCAAGTTCTACCATCAAGTCCAGAACAAAGTGCAGTGTCCATGTTATTATCCGATATACATAAGAGCAAGATTGATTTAGCTTGTGTTTTTTTTGTGGGTTCTACGATACTTAATCCAACTTGCAAGAGAGTAATGCTATAGTACAGTGCAGCCAATGTATGTATTGTTCTCCTTGAATAATATGGTTGTCACAAGTAAAGGTGCACTTTAACATTAAGATCATTTCATCAGATTTTAACTACAATAAGACAAACCTATTGCTCATCCACTAAATGAAGAAGAATGTCAAGAGTAGGAAATAGGGAGGAGTACATAGCTCTAATGGGTGAGCAAGTACTGTCTCAGGTTTAGTGGGCTAAATAGCCCCCTTTTGTGCTATAATTTCTACACAGCACTGCCTCGTGCATCAATTTCTCAATATTGGCAGCAGCATAAGAGAACAGTGAGAGGAGAAAATAACCTGAAAACCAAGACATTGTCTTTCTTCACAACATGAACAGCCAGGAAAGTGATTGATAGTATCTTGATCTTGTTAACCCCAGCGAAGACTTGTGGACTGGAGTCTGCACCAAAAACCTGGATTAACTCCTGTTTGAAATTGCACAACATTTAGCTATGAAGATCCTTGAAGCCATATACTGTGTTTCCTCACCTCGGGTTCCTACAAACTCAGTCAACCATATCGGTGAGTCAAATTCCCCAAATTTCCAGATCATACAAAAATACAAAATTAAATTTGTAAAGCACCTTTCATGTCGGGATCATGTCGGCTTGCACACTTTCGCGTTTGGGAATCTATCCGAAATATAAAAGAACCCTTACAAATATATTTGCCCCAATGAATCGAAACAAGATTCATTTCTTGAATAGAATTATTGTGTAACGCTTAGACATTAAACCCGATAGATTTAAGAGAAAAGCTAAGACACATAATTGACACATAAGTCATGTATTTAGCGTTCAGATTTGGCAATCGGACAACTTTAAGTTTGCTTTTAATTTCTGCCATCTACTTTTAGAGTTACTAAATGTATTATTAAACAGAAGCATCAACTGTTGTCCCACCTCTCCAGGAAACATTCTGTCTGATCCCTTGTGAAGTTTATTTTCAATTTCATTTCTTCCTTCTCACCATTCTTCCAACCTGATAGCTCAGTTGCTATTCAAATGGGAAAGCTTCCCTTTTGGGGAATTGGCTCACTTTTCCCGTGCCTAATAAAATAGTATTCGCTTTATCCTTCACACCTCCATATACGTACTCATCAGACCTATGGACTTTGCTGTTGATTCACCAAGTTATCCATCACTTTAACATTTCCAGCCTTGTGCCATTCGGGAAGTTCATAACATACTAGTTCATAAATTCATAAGCTATTTTGAACCTGCAGTAAAAAACTTATGTTCAACAGAGCATTGAATAAGAACCCCCCACCCCTTAATGATCAGGTGAGAATAATGAATAATAATCTCTGAGGTGTGTGTACATTGGAGGTTTACACCTCAGGTCATGCCAGGACAAACACTAGGGTTATATTCTCCACACAGACTTCACCCACCTCCCCCCGCATCCCTTCCTAATAAGCACACACACCACACAATCCTCCAGATTAATTAGTCCTATATTCATAACTATTTGTGGGACTTTGTTGTTTGGAACAAATTGGCTTGTATGTGTGCATAAAAAACAGTCACTGCACGACAGTAAATACTGCAAAGCATTTTGAGATGCTTTGATATTAGAGTTACAATAAAAAATTCCTTTGGTTTATTCAACCTCTCTTAAGTTAATTTCATCTTCCTGTAAAAAACAATCACTACAATTTACAATATATCCCATGAAGCGCTTTGAGCCAGTTTCCAGATGTGAAAGGTGTTATCAAATATAAGGATTATTATTATAAGTTGAACAGTTCAAAAGTATTTCAGATAAACAAATTGGAAACTCCACACAAAATATTTTCTATGGACTTTTCACAATATATAGGGCGATGTAATAAAGATTCACCACAAGTATAAGTTTGGGTTAATATTGTTGGCAAAAACTCTTTACTTTGAATTGGATTTGAAAGAAGTAAGAATTGTTTAAACATCCAAGATATAAGCTTGAAGATGAGTGCAGTGACCAAATTTAGTGCTTTTGATTATGCAATGTTATTGCTTTTTGTTCTGCTTCTCCTTTTAAACATTTTTATAGTATTAATTAAACATTTAGTTCTGCCAACTCCTACATTTTTTTGTGTGATTTAGTTTTGCTGTTCTTCTTCCTATTGCCTTTCAAGGCTAAATCTGCTGGACTAAATTTGGTAATGCAACTGCTTAGGATTCCTTGGAATGTCCTCAGAGCACAACCTAAATTGATTGGCTGTATCGCAGACTCTTTCACTGCTCAATGGCTGTTCGGACGCTTAGTATTCAAATAAGGCTTGGAGCTGTGTCTAAATGGAGCAATCCCACATCAATCAAGCTTATCATTTCAAGCTCTGTTGCTACATCATATAAGTATCTCTTGCATTCTGGCTTGGCATTTCAACATCTGCTCTGTGGGACAGTCGAAAATAAGTCAGTCTTAAGACTCCAGCTATAAAAAGTGGCCGAATTGGAGGTTTAGAGTCATTTTTGGTTGCATTTTTTTGAAACGACAAGCACCGTTCACAACCGAAGATTTCAAACGGCACACGCAAGCTGCAATTTTACTTTTTTTTGGTTACTTTTTTTTTAAAAAAAAGGAAAGTAGAAAAATGTCGCGATTTAGGAAACAAGAATATAAGAGGCAGGTGAGCGAGGACCCAGACATCGATAATCTGTTGGCAAATCTCTCTCCGGAAGAAATGCAAGAACTGGAAAAAGAGTTGGATGTGATGGATCCAAATATGCATGTTCCTATCGGATTGAGACAGAGAAATCAGACAGACAAGCATTGCACAGGAAACTATGACCGGGAAGCAATGCTCCACTACTGTGAGAAAGCAACTAGGAAATTGATAGAACGAGAGATATCTATTGACGTGAGTTCATATAATTATATTCTCTACTCATCAACGAGTCTGTTTTTATATCTTCAAAAAAGAAATGTGTTGATTCTTTAAGTCTCTGCTGTTTCGAAACGTACTTGAATTCCTATCTGCTTTCAATACGTTCAACAAGTATTGTTTCCAAGGAACTATTCTTAATGCTGTATTCTTCATCTGCATTCCTTTAGTGATTTTTAACATTGTGTTTCTAATGTCATTTTTAACTACTCAGTACACTGGTGCATTGAATGCTGTGTGTATACATGGACATCCACCTGATGTGAAAGGCGCTATACAAACGTAATTTGTTATTGGTGTTGTATGTGCATGTTTATAACTAATACTGAAGAGGAATAATGATAATAATCCTTACAGTTGATATAGCACCTTATCATGTGTTCGAGACATCTCAAAGAGCTTCACAGGATATACTGTAGTGTAGTGACTGTGTGNTTTTTGTGGGTGAAACGCGGCAGCCAATTGCGCACAGCAGTGTCCCACAAACAGTCGTGGATTGAGTGATCATATTATTTTTTAAGAGATTATTACCCCCGGAATGCGATCTGCCAATCGACTAACAAGCAGGTTTCTACTTACCGCGAGGCAAACAGAGGCTTGTGGAGTAAGGAAACTTGTCTTAGGTTTTGCCCAGCCCGGGAATCGAACCCAGGTCCTCTTGCTTGCGAGGTGAGCGCGCTACCCACTGGAGCTGTAGTTTAAAAACCAAGAACTCACTGGTTCAAATCCCAGTCAATGCTGAGTTTGCTGGTGTTAACCAGGGCTGCTTAATGAGGTTAAATTTTCCCTGATCAATCACACTGGGTTCATGTCCCCTCTTCATCACCCTCTATCGGTAATGTACATGTGTGGCATCTGATGGGAACAAGTCATTCTCAACTGTGATGTCCTGCACGGTCAAGTGTTGTACTGAGGCTCACACATGAACAGCGCAACAGTTAATTGACTGGAGGGCAAACAATGCCTGTGGAACCGCAGAGAGGAACATTAGAGAAAAATAATCATACTTTTAAAAAGAGAAATAATATCGTAAAATGTTTCAAAACATCCGGTGACGTAAAGCTAGGGCAGCACTGCAAATATTGGAGCTTCAAGTTGATTAGGAATATGGAAGAGAGCCTGAACTTGATCTCAGTGGTAATGTGCATCCAACAACAACAACAACAACTTGCATTTATATAGTGCCCCTCACTCAGTGCAATGTCCCAGAGCGCTTGACAGTGATGAACAATAACGAGCCGGGCAAGGGGAGAGATGACCACAGGCACGGTCGAATAGGAAGATCTTTAGGTGTGACCTGAAGATGGAGAAGGAGGGAGCAGGTAAGAGGGATAGAGAAAGAATGTTCCAGAGTTTTGGGGCGTAGTGGTTGAAAGCCAGTTATCTAAACCTCATCTGCAGTACAAACAGAGGGCTTTGCCACTTATATTAACCACTAAGCAACTTATGAGCCTCAAATCCAACTCAGTACCAGGAAAATGTAGACACACCAGGAGCCGGACTTGATAGTAAAACTCCACATCCTAATTTATTATTGTTAATGTTGTTCCTGAATTACATCATTTCTAACTTACATTTGTTTTAAATATCAGTAGTGATAGGGATTAAACATTTGAAATTCAGAACTTCATTTGTAACCATAAAAAACCCACGTTTCATTCAATCTGGAGAGAGTCTCTCACAGTCAGAATAATAACTGAGATATACGTTACTATGAGAGAGACTGAGTGTCCTTGATTTGAGGCTCACTTCAGATCTGGCCAGCTTCTCAAGTAATGCTGAGTGAGCAAGTAATCCTAACTTGTTTTGTGGTTAATATGAGTGGCAAAGCCCTCTGTTTGTACTCTCAGGTTTACCAGCACAGGATTCCTGCAATCTATTTACTGAATGTAGACAGAGGCCAATGAAATAATACTTCACGCTAAAACGTCTATAACACCCAAGACTTCCTGTAGGAGACTTGATTGACAAGTGTTGATTTGGGTTTTCTCCTGAACGGTCCATGATAGAACCATTTCAAGTGGGTCTAAGTCCTTATAAAAAGGCAATGTTCCATAATTCCTGATTTGACACTAATTTTCTGAAGCACCTGACTGCAAAAGGGCTCAATCTGAACCTTAGAATGGCGTGGCCTTATCAAAATTATATAATAAATATGTGAAGCATTTTGTGATGTTAATTCTATGTGAAAGGTGCTACTCAACAATAACAACAACAAATTACACTTGTATAGTGCCCTTCACGTAGGAAAGATGTCCCAGGGCTCTCTAACGTCTCAAATGCAAGTTACTGTTACATTCTGCATTAACATGCTGAAATTAGCAATATGTTTGAAGAGAAGGAAAAGAGTAACTTGGACATGCTCTCTAAAACAACTTCTATTGTCTTAGAAAGAAAAACAATGTTTTTTTCATGGTCAGGGAGAAACCTTAGGCAAGTTTCCTTACTCCACACGCCTCTGTTTACTAGCAATAAGTTGGCACCCGGTTGTTAGTCAATTGGCGGATCGCTTATCAGGGGTAATAGTCCAGCAACAAAAATGTGATCACTTAATCCACAACTGTTTGTGGGACACTGCTGTGTGCTATTGGCTGCTGTGTTCCGCCCACAAAATACACAGTGAATCCACTTTATAATATATTCTGTGAAAAGCTTTGAGACGTCTCAACGACGTGATAAGGCACTATATCAAATGCAAGGATTATTATTATTATTATTATTGTCTTGATCTGAGCAACAGGATAGTGCAAGCAAAGAGTGGAAAAAATTGGAGCATGAAGGCAACATAACTAAAGCCTCATCTAAAACTTATCAGAGCTATCTGAATATTTAGATGTTCTAATAGTTGAGATTTGGGTGACCTGTTGGCTTTTATATACTTGAAAATACCTGCTTTATACATATATATTGCGCTGTCCTTGATTGTTTCAAAATTTCCTTCTTGCCAGATTCATATTAGCAGTTTCAGAAATCTTGCCCTTTCACGCTAGCCTTTTATGTCTCTGCTACTCAAGTATCCTATTTATCTCTTTTAAACATTCTGATTCTGCTGACTGTTGCTTTACACACTATCGCTTTTAAGGATATAGCAACAGGCTTCAGCGTGAACACAATAGGAGAGGCCATTTGGCCCATCAAGCCTCCTCCCACACACTGTATTGCTTCATGTCGTTTCGCCCACAAACATACAGACAATTCACTTTACAGTATATTCTGTGAAGCGCTTTGAGATGTCTAGAAGACGTGAAAAGCGCTATATCAAATGCAAGGATTATTATTATTATTATTATTATTATTATTATTATTATTATGTCAGTATTGGAATACTATCTGTTTCCATTATAGTTTCCTGGTCTCAAATAATGTTCATGAGAATCATTTCAACAGCTATTGACCTGCCGTGTAAACAAATACACAGTCATTGAACTTTACAGTATATTCTCTGAAGCACTTTGAGACGTCTCGACGACCTGATAAGGCACTATATCAAATGCAAGGATTATTATTATTATAATAAATGCTTCCTGGTGTCAGTCTTGAACGTGCTCTTCACAATTCCCTTGCCCTGCTGCCCTTTACTATACCCCTCTATCTGAATGTATTGTTCCAATTCACTCTCATAAATGATGTGCTTCTCCATGTGGAGACATCAGATATCCTGTATATGGCCTGAATTCTAACCTCCCTCACTATCCACTGTTCCCAAACTGGAATATTTGACTGCAGATGCGAACCTTGCATTGGTCTTGGTTTAAACTTGTGTATATATCTTGGCTTTTATAAACCTTTTCTCAAACAGAATGTTTTTGGCTGGCCTCCCATCAGAAGCTGTGTTTGACTGTGCTCTGCAGGGTTTATCCTAATTAGGATGGCTATTCTACGGCTGTGTATGTTGAACAGTCCATGATTAGTTCCAGCCAACTTCAACTTAAACTCTGCTTCTCTGAACCATTGTCCATTTTTTTCCAGTAAAGGCAGAGGAAGTACCAGGGAGAAACTTGAAGGCACATAAAAGGCTTTTACACAATTTCTCCTAAATATACTCCAGATACGTTTAGGAATCAAGAATACATATTCTGCTGATTGATACTAACATTTAGCGATATTCACTGATAAAGAAAGGAAATGGCTTCCCATTAATGTTGGGAACTTTTTTGACCAGGGCAATCTTACCTTGCAATTCAGGCTAACCATCTTCATAACAATAAAAATAATCCTTGCATTTGAAGATGATAATAATAATAATAATAATAAGCTTTGTATTTTATATTGTGCCTTGTCATTTATTGTCTCAAAGATCTATCAAGATCTAAAAAAAACTGGTGGAACAGACTTGATTAACTGAATGTCCTCCTGCTGTTTCTGTTTTGCCATGTTTTGAATTTCTGCCCCATCTTTAGTTTCCAAGTATTATGTCTCATTGCTTCAGAGGGAACGGCTAAAGTTACTCAGTAAACTTGTGACACCAAAACAGTCCCATCCCATTCCCTAGGCTAGACGGGATTGAGTCTCTGCCTTATCACGTTGCGATGTGTTCCTTTTGTCAGCCAACGTGCTACAATTCTGGGTCAACTAATATTGGAATATCTTAGTTAATTATAACTGATACTCGTTAACAATATCCCACCCTTCACCAAAGAATTCACAGGAGCCTTTGACTGGATGGAAAATGATACATGCCGAAGTCAAAGGAAAGATTGCTATTCCACAGGAGTACTCTGTTGGCAATTCATTTCATTGCCAGTGCCAATCTATATTTAGGTCTAAACAAAATGCCTCCCAGATGATAGTAATCTATATTTGCACTTGTCCTGGTCTCAGCTGTGTATGAACTTTAGGCGATATGAAACAGATGGGATTGCACATAGACAATCAAGCAACATTTTTAAGTCACCAACCATAAAATGTGAAAAAGTAATAATCGGGTATAGTATTGACAATGACTGGTGTCCTTACCAATGTAGCAACCAGCGCCTTGGGATGTCCTCCCGACGTGAAAGGCGCTCTATAAATGGAATCTTGTTGTTGTTGTTGTTGTTGATTATTTTCATGTTATACATTAGTGTCAGTGTGCACCACTGTGGGTTTCATTCAATTGAAATGGGTTCATCATGTTTCCAAAACTTTTCTTTTGTCAGGGAGAGAGAAATAGCATGCTTCATTTTCATCATTCTCTCCCTCCCTCCCTCCCTCCCTCCCTCCCTCACTCACTCACTCACTCAGATGGTACACTTGATGTGCTTTGATGAGTCTTACTTCTCCATACCCTCCTCTTATGCAAAGAAATAAAAAAAAAATTTTTAAAAAGATCTTCAGCTGGACACGGCATTAAAGGAAGTTTCTCCCGGTGTCTGAGCCAACAATCCCCCAGATAAAATGTGGTCATTTACTGTTTAATTTAAATTCAACTTTACAAGGGTCAGTTCCACTGTAGGTTCAACAAATCATAACAAACTATTTTTAACAAGTGGCTATTGTATTATGGAGGTCCAAAACGTATTACATTGGCTTCCCATGTCTGATTCTAATCTGTTTGTTAGCAACATTTAGTTAGTGTAGGTTATTGTATCCCACTGAAATGTGGGAAATCTGACATGTCACAGTATAATTACAAAGCACTGATTAGAATCAAGCTGCAGAGAAATAAAAGCTCCTTTATAAGCAACAGACACTACTAACAGCTACAATCTCCTCTACTCATATTCTGTTGATAAATAATGCTAAGTTAGAGACTTGGAGTGCTGTAGCTCAGTGGTTAGAGCATTCGCCTCGCAAGCAAGAGACCTGGGTTTGATTCTTGGCAGGGCAAAACGTTGGGCAAGTTTCCTTACCCCCCACTGCTCTGTTTACCTAGCAGTGAGTAGGAACCCGGTTGTTAGTTGAGTGGTGGATCACTTTTCTGGGGGTAATAATTCCTTCAAGAAAAAAAAATTGGTCACTCAATCCACGAGTATTTGTGAGGCACTGCTGTGTGTGATTGGCTGCTGCCTTTCAGCCGCAAAATATACAATCAATTCACTTTACAGTATATTCTGTGAAGCGCTTTGAGATGTGATGAGGTGCTATATCAAATGCAAAGATTATTATTAGTATCATTTATTTTTCAGCATGAATTACTTTTGGTATTCAAGTGTTGAGTGTGCAAATGCTGGGTTTCCAATGGTGTTGCCTATTTGGTTTTAAACTTCCTTTAAATTACATTCTTCTAGGAAGGGCAAGCTCCTGGTGAAGTATGCACAGAATCCACATCTACGGAAATCCACAACAAAACGGATACAACGGCAACCACAAACATGGGTGAAGAGAGGCCTGCGAGAAGATATGAGAAAGTGGCGAGTGAAAGAAAAGAGAAGGAGAAGGAAGAAATAGAGAAGAGCAAAGAGGTAAATGGAAAAGAAGGAAAGGAGAGCAGGAGCGCGGAAATAAAGGAAAAGGAGAAAGACCGAGAGGCAAAAGGGGAAGAGAAGGCAGACAAATCTACTCGACCCAAAGATGAAACGCCAAAGGCAACCTACAAGGAAGGAAAGTGCACGAGGACAAAGTGTGAGACGAAAGACAAGGGTAGTGAAAACTGCTCCGCCTCTTCCAAGGCAAACTCAAGCAACTGTTGTTCAACTCAGAGTAAGGATTCCCCCAGCAAAGAAAAACTTCAACGGGAGAAAACTGAACCGAAAGCTCCAGAAACACAAGCTCCGGCCTCGACTATTTTTGATGAACCAATAGAAAAAGTGATGAGCAATGACCCGGCAGTCACTGAGGTCAATTTAAATAACTCCGAAGGGATTTCCAATGATATCTTAATCCGATTTGCGGACGCTTTGAAAGAAAACACCTTTGTGAAGACCTTCAGCTTTGCAAACACCCGCGCTGACGACCACGTTGCTTTTGCTGTTGCTGGCATGTTAAAGCTAAACAAAAGTATCACAAACCTCAACCTGGAATCGAATTACATCTCTGGCAAAGGGGTCATCGCCGTCATGAGAGCTTTGCAGCAGAACAGTGTCTTAACAGAGTTCAGGTTCCATAACCAGCGCCATATATTTGGGGGTCAGGTCGAGATGGATATCGCTAAACTTTTGAAGGAAAACACCACCCTTCTGAAGATGGGCTACCATTTTGAGTTGGCAGGACCTCGGATGACTGTGACCAACCTGCTGAGTAGGAACATGGACAAACAAAGGCAAAAGCGTCTGCAGGAGCAGAGACAGGGTCAAGAAGGGGACAAGAAGCAAGGGCTTGAGGTACCAAAGCCACACGGGATGCAAAAATCACCAAAAGCGTCCCCTCAATCTTCTCCTAGAAGCTCACCTTGGCCATCCCCAAAACCATCTCAGAGAAAGGCCGCAGTTCCCACTCCACCACCGCCTCCTCCCCCTCCCCCTCCCCCAGCCCTGCCTGAAAAAGTCAGCTCGACGACACCCAACCACCGATCGAAAGGCAGGAGCACGAGAGAAGAAAACGAAGAGACCAAGAACCTAAGAAATTCCTTGACACCCGTCTCGGAGAGAAAGCTGGAGGTCAGAGGGCCAATTCCGGAGAAGAACTCAAGAGATCAGTTTCTGGCTTCCATCCGGGCTGGCAATATCAAAAAGTTAAAGAAGGTAAATAACTTGGTTTCCAGAATTGATTATTCATTTGTTTTAATGCAAATCCTGTAGCTCAGTGGTTAGAGCACTCGCCTCGCAAGCTAGAGGACCTGGGTTCGAGTCCCGGCAGGGTAAGTTTCCTTACGCCACACGCCTCTGTTTACCTAGCGGTAAGTAAGAACCCGGTTGTCAGTTGATATGGCGAATCACTTTTTTTCAGAAGTTAATAATGCCTTAAAAAACAATTGGTCACTCAATCCACCACTGTTTGCAGGACACTGCTGAATGCAATTGGGCACAAAATACACCGTCAATTCACTTTACAGTATATTCCGTGAAGCGCTTTGAGGCGTCTCGAAGACTTGATAAGGCGCTATATCAAATGCAAGGATTATTATTTTATATTATTATAAAGACATTCACAGTCCTATATATGCACTTGTATGAAAAAGGGGAAAAAAAGGATAGATACTTGAGATCTATCTAATAGGTGGTGATTTTTAATGAGATTCTTTGATAAGGAAACTGAGTGGAGAATCTTTTTAGTAGGTGGAAGTATGTCATGCACATCATCACATCAACTCCGAGCCACTTCACCCTGAAAGTACTTTGTGTTGGAGTTTGGTGTGACATACCTCTAGTCATTTAAAGTACAAGTACAGCTTCCAAAATAGTGTGTCCGCACCACAAGCAACGATATTGCCTACATTTAGAACAGTTGTGTGGAATTCCAAAGACATTTGTGTTACTCGTGTAATTGTTCAGGTGTTAAAAATGGAACGATCTTTTCAAGTCCACTCGCCATCCTCCTTAACTTCCCCTCACCACCCCAAATAGCATCTAAAATGTTTCTAAAAATATACTCTCTAATAATCTCTTAGGAAGATTGTCACTGTTTCTGGCTCTGCGTGTGTGATTCAATACAACGATAACAATATTTAGAAGCAACCAAAGTGATGCAGCTGTTGCTATTACTTGTGGTTCCCAGTGAGGGCTAATTTTACCACTACCAATAATGGGGTCTAATTTGTTAGTTGTGACAACCTTGTGCAAAGAAAATTACAGGTTAACTAATTATGTAATTAGCAACTAGGGCAAGGGAAAAAAGCAGCATGGGTTAATGCTCTTGATTGCTATCCAGAAAGCCTTGCTGAAACATACGTGTATGTAAGGATGGATGAGTTTACAATTACACAGTTGAATTGGCTGATGGCATGTGTTGTATGGGCTCACACACAAAAAATGACTACTGTACTTGGCTGATCAGAGTTTTTAGAGGAGTAATGGAAATAGTAACAGCTTCTATTTTGCCTCATCGGCATCAGATTAATACATATTAACTGGAGGAAATAACAATAATAATCCTTGCATTTGATATAGGCGTCTTTGAGACGTCTCAAAGCGCTTTACAGAATACACCCTAAAGTGCATCAACTGTATATTTTGTGGGCGAAACACGGCAGGCAATTATGCACAGCAGTGTCGCACACAAGTTGTGGATTGATTGACCAAATTATTATTATTATTATTAGTTTTAATGTAATATATTTAGTGGTGCTTAATTTTTTTTACAACGTAGAGCCACAGTGTTCATTATGGTATAATACATCAGTACAATTTCTAATAAGACTTATTTTCATTGGTTTTAGGTTGCGGTTCCCAAGTTACTGCAATGAGGAGAAGAAACTGCACCAATGTCCACTACTGGAGGTTTCCCAATAATCTTTTTGTAAACCCAAACTTATTACTTTCGCCAAAGCATCATTGTCGTTATCACTGATCATTCACAAAACGCATTTGCAGGCTCTGTGACTTAAAGATGGCAGAATTTCTAAGGGTTTTTCAAGTGCGTTTCATTTGATTGCCTCTTCTCTCCATATCTTCACGTCACATGTTGTGCACAATGACAGTGAGCAATTCTTCTTATGTTACCTTCCTATTTTCTGTGCTTTCTGTCATTAGAGGTTTGGCAGATTCCTTTTGATTAAATGTGGTTATTTCCTGATATAAAGTCTATCGCTATTCATATTCGACCACTGTTTTCCCTTCAGAGCTTTCATAAAACTTTCATCTCAGCTGGTTTCAGTCTTTGAAAGAGGTCTCCACTTCTGTTTCCACTTTTACCACAAGTCACAAAGAATCCAAGAACTATTAAACCCAAAATACCGACGTTTGCAGTCTTCAGTCCCTCGTTGACATAGGAAAATACAGAGAGCTGCAAAAGGAGACAAGGGAAATAATATAGAAGGCTAAGGGGGAAATATGAAGCCATTTGTTTAGCTGACATACAGCTTGGTCGATTTTCTCAATCTGAATCTATTTATCCTTCCACTTGTACAAATGATGCCTTATAATTCTAGTCATGTAGTGGAATCATCAAGTTAATAACCAGAGATAAGGTCTTTCACTGATTGTTAATGGGTACTGCAAACTGAAACTGCTATTATTGCCTGTGTCTTTTGAATACCTTATGGCTTTTCTTTTGCAATGATTATTTTTGTTTAAAAAATAAGCGCATTTGTCTCAATCCCAGAGGATTTGTAAATATTTGTGTCGTTCAGCGTCTGTGTAATATTTGAACAAGTATTAAGTGAACGTTTGTAAATGTATGCTGCACATGCTATCAACAGATACACCAGCCACACAATAGCCATGTACCTCCCATACTTGCCTGATGCATCATCTATTAACAGATCACTAAAATCGCAATAAACAGCACAATACAAATACTGACCATTTTTCTGACTACGAGCAGCATGTTAGTTTTTTTTTACATGATAAAAGCAATATTTGTACCAATGTATAATATGCCATAGTGTTGTCCTTTTAAATATTTTGTGATATGATAATGTTGGCACATTTGATCTCAAATGTAAATCCATATGCTTCACAGGAAATGAGAATTTTGAAGTTAACGTTACAATCTCTTTAGCAGAAGCTCAGGATTGTCGCTGTATGAAAATGTTGATGCTGGTGGAGCTGGTGAATTAGATTGGGACAATGGTGTAACTGATGATTCAGAGGGATACAGAGAGCAGCAAAATAAAACCAAGAAAATAACAGAGAAGATTAAAAGGGAATATGAAAAGCCATTTGCAGATGATATTCAAGGTAACAGCAAAGCATGTGAGAAAGACGGCAGTAAAGAAGGAAGCAATAGCAGACACATGTGACAATAGTAGAGGATAAGGATGTTCTAGAATTGTTGGACGAATATTTGGGCTTCAGTCTTCATGGTGGAAAAGGAGGACAAGATACAGGAAGTTTGTGAAAGGTTAGAGTTTAGAGAAAAGGGTGAACTTAAAGACTTAATTATAAACAGAAAAATAGTACGGAAACTAAAATCAACAAGGAAAAGAATCGGGGAGACTTAAATCACTATTTTCCCCAAATTCAATTTATTCAGAAATTGTTCCAGGTGATTGGATAGAAGCAAACGTCTCAACAACAACAACAAATTATGTTTGTGTAGCGTCTTTCATGTCGGGAGAATGTACCAACCCAAGGCGCTGGACATTCAGGGATTTGGACCCGAGCCGGGAAGGTAGGAGTAGGAAGCTGGCCGAATGCGCGATCGAAGAGGAAGGTCTTGAGGTTGGCTTGGAAGGAGGCAAGGGAGGGAACAAGATGAAGGGACTGTGAGGTGGATTTCCTTAGTGTGGGGGCAGCGAAGCTGAAAGCCCAACTGCCGATGCGGGGACATGGAGCAGGCCGGACAGAGCCTGCGGAACAGAGGGAGCGGACAGGTTAATATGGGGGGGAATAAAGCAAGCAACTATAAGTCAATGAGTTTCACATCAGTGGGAGGCAATTTATTGAAATCTATCATCCGGTGCAGAACAAATAATAAAGCATAAATAATCTGCAAAGATCAGGGAGAGTTAACACGGGTTTGTTTGATTTCAGTTTTTCTTCCCCACCATCCACCATTCCTAACTTGCAGACTGTGGTGATTTATGATAAGAACAAATATAATACGATTTATAATAAGATCAAAGTTGCTACACTTTGACAAGAGGCAATTTTCCCCCTCCCCTTCATTTCTATGTGACGCTTCATCCATTGTATCAGGCAAAAGTTGACTGAAACCACTGATCTGAATTAAATATGTTTGAGCAATAGCTACTTGGACTGGTATCTGACTCATGACATTCTGGTTAGCAGTCAAATCCCTCTCCAATCCATCTTGCAGTTATCTCCAACACTTTTCAACTAACTAACCAACTAACCAACTAACTCTCACATCAGGCCAGATGTGTTCCTGCATCGTGGCAAACATGAATGGAGGAGGATGGATGGCTTCTTACGTGGAACAAACACCAACATGGAAAAATGGGCCGAACGACCGCCTACTATATTGTACATTTCCACGGTTTTATGAGGAGTATTTTTAATCAACTTAGATGTCAGTCGATTGCAATGTAAATATATATTACCACCTATGTTGAAAGAATGCAAGCAACGGCCCTGGCATTGCTGCGGTGTTATTGCGTTACCATAGTACCAAGTGAACTGAAGAAAGAATAAAGTTGCTGAAGCTGCTGTTGGGAAAGATGAGGTCACTGATGTTTGCTTTAGAGAGGGGGAGTAAAAAATGGGAACATTCCACTGGCGGCCTGCCAATGATCACCCTTAAATGGCAACCATTCCTGCAAAGACCGTTTAATAATGGCTAGCAAATTGGCAACGTCAATCCAGGCTTGTTTATCTTTGCTGGTTATAAGGGCCGCCATGACACAGCTCTTGTTCATAAATATAATTATGATCCGGGCTGATGGAGAAGACATTTTTTGCAGCCAAGATTTACTTCAATAAAATTCCTTGTGTTTTGAATTATATGTTTTCAAAATTCGCAATTTGATTTCACATATTACATACACTCTTTGAACTGTACTTCAGTCATTCAGTGTCATTTCGCACAGAATTTTCAGTTCACGGCAATCAAATGCACTTTATTAAAGCAAATGATTCAAACATTCACAATTAACATCTCGTACGAAGGATGGCACTTCCAACAATGCAGCCTCCACTTTGTTGGAGTGTCAGACTAGACCGTGAGATCAAAGTCCCGATGCGGGCTTGAAGCCACAACCTTCTAGCTTAGAGGTGAGAGAATGCTACCAACAGGTGGGCTGATACCTAGAACACCTGTAGTTTCATGTAACTCTGGCCCATGTGCCCAAAATATTAATTTGGTCATTCAACCCATGACTGTTTGTGGGGACGCTGCTGTGCGCAATTGGCTGCCGCGTTTCGTCCACGAAATACATAGACAATCCATTTCACAGTATATTCTTTGAAGTGCTTTGAGACATCTCAAAGACATGATAAGGCACTATATCAAATGCAAGGATTATTATTATTATGTGCTCCAATTGACCTGATCAAAATAAGATATAGGTGGTTGTCTAGAAGATGAAAATCTATGGTGTAAGCTCATGAGTTTGAGGTCTGTCCCATCATTTCGACCTGTTTACTTTTGTTAAATAAGTTCTGTTAGATCTTTCATCAGATTCTTGGTTAGAGCTGAACACTGGAATATCCTTATCACTGGCGAGACCAGTTAACAACACATTAAGCTGAATTGTGCTTCTTGTTGACAAGACTTCGAACGACAGAGGTGATGACCAAAGTCCAGACCCTGTTTCTACTGGCCCTGCAAGCAGAACAGGCAACACATCGGATTACAGCAAGTGCGGACAAAATGGATTTCTTGTTCGGAAAAAAATCTTAAAAGGAGACATGCTTAAACAAATCTGTTGGGTCGTTTTTCAATTTGATGTGATATACCACTTCATACTAAGATAAGTAGTTGATTTTCCAGAAATTGCAGAAGCATTTTGGTATTTTAATTCTGGAATATCACACAGAGAGGAAAATAGGAGCGCATGCCAAATCCTCAGTACCACCAAAATGGCTATATTTGGGCATTTTGCTCTGTAAACTCCAAAGTTCATTCCTTTGCCATTCCAAATTATGGGATGGAGGCCAAACCACCGTCCCTTTTACTGCTGGTACAGCTTCACTGAAGCAAAAACAAAGAGAAGCAAACAATCTCTAAGACGTAAGCCAAGAGAAGAACCAGGCTTCAGGGGAGCAGAACAAAAAGCAATGGAAATATTTACATTCACGGCCGCGACGCAGTGAAACATCAGCAAAATATAATCACAAATTTGCGCTTCACGATGCGGAATTAACACGTAAAATGCTTCATTTTCTCTGTGGTGGTGTAGGTTTGCTTTAACCCTTTGTTTGCTTAGAGCCTGCGATCATTGCGAAACAGATTTTCTAAAAATTTCCAACATTGTTCTTGCAATGTGTTTAATAATTATCCACACGCCCACACTAATTAATCTTTCGTATCTAGGCAAAGAATCACTTGGACACCAGGTGTCAATGTCAATGAGTTTGGTGGCACTCTTGTCTCTGTTAGAAGGTTGTAGGTTCACGCTCCTCTTTGAATTCAGTCGAGGCTGACTCTCTAATACGGTGCTGTAGGTACCTTCCTTCAGAGATAATAAACTGAGATCACGTCTGTCTGTTCAGGTGGACATTAACAATTCTACGGCGTTACTCGAAAATAGAAGGGAATTTCTCCTGGGATCGTGGACAACAAACCCCCCAGATAAAACTGATTATTCACTTAATGGCTGTTTGTGAGACATTTCTGTGTGCAATTTTAGCTGTTGCATTCACCTGCAAGGTACAGTCAGTCACTTCGCAGAAAACCTTGTGAAGCGCTTTGAGACATTCTCTTCACGTGAAGGATGACATAGCAAATGCAAGAATTGTTATCCATGACAGTGGTTAATATTTGGGGTTTTTGTACAACAGTGCACCATAAGAGAAAGAAGTTTTCTTCAGCAAATATATTTCCCCTGAAAAACGACTGTGATGTTTATAGCTTATACAAAAGTTGGAAGTTAAGAGTCACATCCAGCCAATGTTCCTCATCACAACGCATTGATTTGCTTTGGTCAATACCAGGGAAATGTACATTTGTGGCATAAAGTACAGCTGATACTACGTTAAACTAACCAGGAGAATGGATCGTGAACTTAGATAAGTTGTAGTTCTGCCAAATATAACTGTTGTGTCAGTTTTAAACACAGTTACCCTGACAGCAGTGCCATAGAGTTTTCCGAGTGCACTCTCCTTTGCAGTAAGTTGAGAACAGAGGTCATGTACAAAATGCCATGTCTTTAAATATTTACGAAATAAGAAAGAATCAATTGGGTTGTCCAAGTTTCTTTCTATTTTGTGAAATGTCAGCATCAAGTGGACAAATGTTAATAATAAATAGGAATGTCTGTACAGTCTTAACCATCAATGCATTTGATCAAGAAATCACCTTTAAAAATCGACTTAATGTTTTAAATGCATGGCAACAGCATGTGCCCATATACAGACATGTGTTTGCATTTTAGGGCATACCATCTTTTGGTAGTGCTATCTCACAATTTCTCCTTTTTTTTACATTAAAAGCATGTTCTATTTCTTCTAGACCTGAGATCCAAAGCATAGTGGAGCTCTGACCAAATTACTCTTTAAGCTGCCATGGGTATCACCCTTCTTCCAGTATTTTATTAATCCTTTCAGTAAAGACTTTCCTAAAAAGGCTGTGAAATTATTTAATGTAAATAAAAGAAAGTCATATATTCCGAATGGTCCCGTCTCACATAGAACCAATTGCGCAATCATTCCTGTCATCTGGGCAAATAGTAAATTCATGAGAATATTAATTTTGCGATTTGGGTATTCGGTGTAAATATAATTTCAATGATTTTTCAGGAACAAGAAATGGTAAGTAAGTTGGTAGGCAGTGATTTACCGTACGCTCCAAGATATTGTTGAGGCAGACATCCAATCCATTGATTGCTTTTGTTATTTTTCAGATCACCCAACAGCCAGGCTCATCTCCTATTGGGAAAACAAGGGCAATGTATCTGCCTAACCTTTTTGAAGACTTTTTGTTGGGTGGGAGTTGGGGGGGTGGGGGGGATCAACCAGGTGTGGAAACCCATCACCATGCTTAAGCATCCTGCTTACTTAATTCTGGAAACTCCTTCGTAGTAGTAGTTCCACTCCTTCGTGGAAAGTATCAGTTGGTTGGCAAAAGCCAAGACATGGGGACCCCAGAGTGTGCGTTGGGGTACTGCTGGTGTCATTAAAAACTGCATTTGAAGACTAACAAGATACATGTTCCTGAATCCCCTGTATCTGGATGTGGACAGCAGAACTACAACAGCTATGAAAGGAATGAAAGCAAACCATGTGGAAAATTTTAAATCTAACCAACAGTTGGTTGGATGCGAGGAAAGCACCTCAAAACCACTTGATTGCATTTATCAAACGAAGGGATCATTTAAGCGACTGCTCAGGTCACTGAGGAAAATAAATCAATTTGTACAAAAGTTTTCGTTTGTCTTCTTCCAAGTCAGCCTGAGAAGCATATTTAAAAAAAACAGTTAATGAGTTAATTAATAGTTGCATTTGATATCGCACCACATCATGACAAAGTGTTCAAACTGCTTCATGGATAATTGCTGTAGCAACTTTGCACAGTATAGCGATTGAGGCAGCAAAGAAGTACCTGAATAAGATAAGTACAGTGCAAACTGACAAACACATATCTGTCTGCAAGAAACCTGCTTAAATAAATTGTAACAGCTTCATATTTAACTGCTTAAAAACACTTTGGTTCCGTGTTAAAGAAAATCAAAATCTGTTTACAGAGGCGGAACAAGTAAGCAAAGCTATTAAATGTGAAATAGCGCCATCATCGGGGAGTTTGAAATAAGAGCTATTCTGTACAAACGCCGCAGTAAATATTACAGCGCTGCGTCCAAAGTTTAAACCAAAGCGCTTCACAGAACACACTGTAAAGTGAATTGACTGTATATTTGTGGGCGAACGCGGCAGCCAATTGCGCACAGCAATGTCCCACAAACAGTCGTAGATTGAAAATGACCAATTTTTATTATTGTTTTGTTTTGGAGGGATTATTATTAGGCTCTGTGTGGAGTAAGGAAACTTGCCCAAGGTTTCACCCTCTGCCTGGGATTGAACTCCGGTCTCTCACTGGCAAAGCGAGTGCTCTAACCACTGAGCTACAGGACTCCACAAAATGACAGGTTGCGGCTCTCTTTTCTTTTGGAAGGAAATGTGGAAACGGTGTGTTGTTTATTGTTACTTTTAAGAACGATAATAACTTATGTAACTCGGTGGCATAGGAATTTGCTATCAGGCGAAAGAAGACCATCTGGTTCGCCTTCCACCAGTCGCTTGACGTGTCGTGTCCCAAACTTGTACACACCGTATCCCGAGATAAAGGTCTTCAAAAGGAAGAGGGAGGAGGAACGTTTTGCGGGTTTAAATCAAAATAACATCCGAAACAAAAAAAATTCGGATTTTTTTCGGCTTTTTTTTTAACCCACAAGTTAGTAATAATAACAATAATAACAGTAATAATCCTTGCATTTGATGTAATAGTAATAATCTATAATAATATTCGATAATAATATAATATTCTAATAATATTCTACATAATACATAACATTATATAATAATGCATAATAATAATGTATAATAACATCGTTAATGTATAACAATATAACAGCGCTTCGGACTCGCGAGACAAAGCGCTATATTATTGTAATATATCATAATATAATTGTAATTGCAATAATATGACGCTTTATCGCGCGAGTCCGAGGTGCCTCGAAGCGCTTCACGGGATTATACCGCACGGTGTAGTGACTGTGTATTCTGTGGGCGCGGAGCGCAAAAAAAAACGTTCACAAACCCCACCCAAAAAAAAAAACCCACACCCAAATCTGACCACTGCACCCGCCCCACCAGGACCCGGGAGGGACCTCACAGGTTGACCGCTTAACTCCACACAGAAAGTATCAGCCAGACTTGGTGGCCGGTGACCACCCGCCCGGCCACCCAGGACACGCCCACTCAACCAGGACACGCCCACCCGCCCACCCAGGACACGCCACTCTACCAGGACACGCCCACCCACTCGCCCAGGACACGCCCACTCAACCAGGACACGCCCACCCGCCCAACCAGGACACGTCCACTCAACCAGGACACGCCCACCCACTCGCCCAGGACACGCCCACCCGCCCAACCAGGACACGCCCACTCAACCAGGACACGCCCACCCGCTCAACCCCAGGACACGCCCACCCGCTCAACCCCAGGACACGCCCACCCGCTCACCCCCCCAGGACACGCCCACCCACCCGCCCGACTCGGCAACAGCGCATGCGCCCTGCCCTTCCTCGCCGGCTGCCGCGGTCGCGCAGGCGCGGTGGCGTCCGGCGCTGTGTGACGCCAGAGGGACAAGATGGAGGAGTACGCGCGCGAGCCGTGGTGAGTGAGTCAGGCTCTGATGGCTGGTGAGGCCCGTGACGGAGGGCGAGGGCGAGGGCGGCGGCGCCGCTCCTGCGAAGGGCTCGGACGCGGCTCGGGCCTGGTTATAGAAAAGAAGCGCCTTTTCCCATCCCCGGAGCCCGGGGCAGTGGGAGGCCGGGCCGGGCCTCGCCGGTGTGAGCCGCGCGCGCGCGCGCACACGAGCCGTCCTGGTGCCCTTGAGATGCCGCGGAGGCCGAGCGACTCGCTGCTGCCTGTCTGCCTGTCCGTGTAACTTCACCCCCCGAGCAAGTCACCCCCTTCTCTCTCTCTCTCTTCCCCCCCCCCCCCCAGAGCAAGTCACCCACTCTCTCTCTCTCCCTCTCTCCCCCCCCCCCCGAGCAAGTCACCACTCTCTCTCTCCCGCCCCCCCCCCCAGAGCAAGTCACCCCTTCTCTCTCTCTCTCCCCCCCAAGCAAGTCACCACTCTCTCTCTCTCCCCCCCCCCCCCAGAGCAAGTCACCACTCTCTCTCTCTCCCCCCCCCCAAGCAAGTCACCACTCTCTCTCTCTCCCCCCCCCCAGAGCAAGTCACCCCCCTCTTCTCCCCCCCAGAGCAAGTCACCCCCCTCTCTCCCCCCGAGCAAGTCACTACTCTCTCTCCCCCCCCCCCCGAGCAAGTCACCCCCTTCACTCTCTCTCTCTTCCCCCCCCCCAGAGCAAGTCACCACTCTCTCTCCCCCCCAGCAAGTCACCACTCTCTCTCTCCCCCCCCCCCCCCGAGCAATCCACCACTCTTGCTCTCCCCCCTCCCCCCCCCCAGAGTAAGTTATCACCTTCTCTCTATCCCTTCCCCCCCTCACCGAGCAAGTCACCACTCTCTCTTTTTATCTCTCCCCCCTCCCCCCCAAAGCAAGTTACCACTCTCTCTCTTTATCTCTCCCCCCTCCCCCCAGAGCAAGTTACCATTTTCTCTCTTTATCTCTCCCCCCAAAGCAAGTTACCACTCTCTCTCTTGCCCTCCCCCCCAGAGGAAGTCACCACCCTCTCTCCTCCCCCCCCCCCTCCTCCCCCCCACACACACACAAAAACCGAAAGTGAGGTCAAGGGTACTTGTAGCCTTGTCTGATAAATATAGTCGTCCTTTCATTATGTCTTCGAGATCTCTCAAAACGAGCGCCTAATAATAATCCTTGCATTTGATATAGCGCTTTTCACGTCGGGAGGACATCCCAAAGCGCTTCACAGAATATACTGTAAAGTGAATTGACTGTATATTTGTGGGCGAACGCGGCAGCCAATTGCGCACAGCAGTGTCCCACAAACAGTCGTGGATTGAAAATGACCAATTTATTATTGTTTTGAGTTTTGGAGGGATTATTATTAGGCTCTGTGTGGAGTAAGGAAACTTGCCCAAGGTTTCGCCCTCTGCCTGGAATTGAACTCAGGTCTCTCGCTTGCAAAGCGAGTGCTCTAACCACTGAGCTACAGGACTCCATAGGCTTCACAGGGATGTACCGTAAGCAAATTGACTGTATATCTTCCGGGTGAAACATGGCAGCCAAGTGCGCACAGAGGTAGCCAGCAAACAGTCGCAGTGCATTGAGTGACCCAATTATTATTATTATTGTTCATTAAATTGTGTAGAAATGTGAAGTGAATTGCAAATTGTATTTATAAAATGTAAATTGATGTATATTTTGTGGGTGAAACGGGGCAAGTAGTTCATGTGCAGCAATGCCCCAGAAACGGCCATGGGCTGAGTGACCGATTTTATTTGGGGGACTGTTAACCAGGACAGTTGGAGAAACTTCCTTCTCTCCAGTAGCTTTCTCTCCAAAAGCTCCAGACACCGAGGTTCCGTCTTCCTGTTTAAGTGGAGGTTCAAGATCCCATGGCACTGTTTGAAAAGAGAAGGGAGTTTCTGGAACTCTCTCCCCCAAAAGGCTGTGAATGCTGGATCCATTCAAATTTTCAAGACTGGGAGGTGGATAGATTTTTGTTAGGTCAGCGTATCAAGGGATATGGAGCAAAGGTGGGTAATCGGAGTTGAGGTAAAGATCAGCCAGGACCTAATTGGCAGATCAGACTCAAGGGGCTGAATGGCCTACTCTTATTCCTGTGTTTTTCTGGCAAACAATGCTGTGTGCCATTGGCTGCCGCGTTTCGTCCACAAAATATACAGTAGATTGACTTTACAGTATATTCTGTGAAGCGCTTTGAGACGTCTCAAAGGTGTGGTGAGGCGCTATATCAAATGCAAGGATTATTATTAAGTAGCAGCTTGGGACTTCAACACACAACCATTTGACTTGCAGGTGAAAGTGCTACCAGCTGAACCAATCTTATCTGTTCCTTCTTCATAGCTCGTCTATCCAAAACTGGTGCAAGGATTATTATTGTTATTATTATCATTCTCATTCTTCTCTACTGCTTCTGGAGCATGGGTAGCACTTATGTCACAGAGCTCCGGAAGGGTGAGAAAGTTAATAGAAAATTTGTAAAAATATTGTTTGTTTAAATTGTTAAATAAATGTTCTGAAGTACAACTTCCAAATAATATACATTTTCTCTGTTTTAGCCCCTGGAGAATTGTTGATGACTGCGGTGGTGCCTTTACGATGGGTGCCATTGGTGGTGGCATTTTTCAGTCCATTAAAGGTTTTAGGAATTCTCCAGTGGTATGTAATTTCCCTTTCCTGATCAAATTAAGTGCAGTAAATTTTATATTTCTTTACATGCTCTGCCGGGTATCAGGTACATTTTTAATCATTAGGTCTTTGCAAATATTAAATATAAAATGTTTGTTAGCGGCATCTACGTTTTAAATTAATTTTATATCATGTGCATTAAATGTTTAATATTTTCTAACTTTGATACCTCTGCTACATTAGCAAGTATTTTTGCAATATGTATTTATTTGGCATTTATTTTTAGTGTTTGTTGCGGTAGGTATTTATGCATCTTTTAAGTTGTTCTAAACATATGTTAACTTTTTTAAAAACACAGGGAATGCGTCACAGACTGAGAGGAAGTATGACCGCAGTTAAGACCAGAGCTCCACAATTGGGAGGTATTTCATTTTTTTTGTCTTTGTACAATCTTTGCATAAATTGTACTTTGTTTATAAAACTACAGATAGATCATTTTGCCAACCATCAGAAATGTTTGCTATTAGCAGCAAACTACCAACAATCCTATTGCTTCTATTGTTGAATATTGAGATGTGCAAGTAATCCTAGCTGCTACAGTAGTACTCAGCTATGAAATAATCCCACGAACAAATTGCTGTTGCACCATTACAGAACTTGATTGGGCCAAAGTCAACACGTCAGATGCCATGGGGAGAGGAAATCTACCTAGTTGTACATTCGAATGATCATCGTGTTTAGATCTCAGTGTTACTAAGGTCGGGTTCCTAATCCTCATGAAGACTTAATTAGTGTAAACGTTTGAGGATGAGCTAATCTAGTAATGGCAAATTGGTTTCATTTTAAATTACTTCAAATTATCTTTTAAATAATAGATGAAAGGAAAATGTTGCAGAGATCAGAAGTTTAATAACCTCTTGACTGCAAAATACTTTAGATATCCAAGCAATGTTTTTTTTGAGAAAAAGCACTGCTAACTCAGTTTAACCCACAACTAGCAAAGACAGAGCTTACTATTTTGAGTTCTAATGAAAAGTTGCTGAAGAATTTACACCCACAAATATCTTGTAACAAATTAACAACACTGTTCTGACTGTTTTCCGCTTTGCTTTTCTCTACCTGTGTATTTAGGGAGCTTTGCAGTTTGGGGCGGACTTTTTTCTATGATTGACTGTGGCATGGTGAAGGTTCGAGGAAAAGAAGATCCATGGAATTCTATAACCAGTGGAGCCCTAACAGGCGCCATATTAGCTGCAAGAAGTAAGTGTGTTTTTCACAGCTGTGCAAGAGTTTGACTGATGATCGATATAGGGCAAGGATGTATGATCAGTCAAGATGTATGACCCATTTTCTGGAGAAAATATATGCATCTTGTAAATAATGAAATGTGTAAAAATAGCATCGAGTCCCACTTGGAGACTGAGAATCAGTGGAACTTCTGCTTTTCTTAAAAAAACAAACTAAAATTAGAATTGGAAAAGCAAATTTAATTTTATATGAAGTCTGTAGGATGTGGCCTTGTTATAGATATGGAGTATTCCTAGAAGACTATTTCTAATCCAACAGGCTTACTCATCTTTTTCTGAGAAAATTAACAGCATACTGCTGAAAATGCTGTGGTGTGTGTCTGCCTTGTACAGAGATGGGTAATTCATGCTCAGAACGTGTGCACTCTTTTTTAAGTACATGAACACTGTATATTCTTAAACTGAGCATTTTTGTTTAGATGGTCCAATGGCAATGGTAGGCTCAGCTGCTATGGGAGGTATTCTACTTGCTTTGATTGAAGGAGCTGGAATATTGCTTACACGCTTTGCTTCAACACAATTTCCAACTGGTAAGTTTGAAGATGTAATATTATTTCTTAAAATGTACATTACAGTGCCCCTCTTTGGGTGAGTGTATAGAATTGATCCAGTTTGCAAACATCAATGGAAATAGCATTCAAACTTTAATAACATGGTAAAAGTTTCAAAACGGTGACAATTACTACAGTTTCAGATGTGCTTTCGACAATGCAGAGAAAGATGCTCAGAAATGGATTTCTATATAAATGTGCATACCTTGTTATTAAATTAAGAGCCTTGCCTATTTTCAAGCGATATATTAATTATTTGTGCACAGGAACCTGACATACCCAAAAAAACGATACGTCAGCCCCTTTTGCACTTTGAATTGCCCTTTTATATTTTATTACACTGTTAAAGAAATAGTACTTTAAATAGATATTAATGGTGACTCAATGTCATGAGCATTTTCTCCCAAAACAAACTAAGTCACATTTTTCTGTGAATAGTAATTGTAAAAATGTGAATTTGTTTTATATGTTGCAAAAAGACTGCTGTATGCTATGCCAGGATGTATCATTGTATCTAAACTAGGTTTAGTCAGCTGTAATTTGAACTGGAAATGTTACTTAACCTGCAAGAACCTGACATCCTCGGTGTGAGTGTGTGTAAAATGGGGAAATGAATCGTGCTTAAGAAGCTCATAATTGAATTGGAAGGGGGAAAAAAAAGAGGAAAGCAAAGAAAGCGATGAAATGACTGATTGCTGTTGCAGAGAAGCTTGAGAGTGCTCCAAAACTACTTTGTCCCTTCTACAGGTCCACAATTTGCAGATGACCCTAACCAACTACAGCCTCCACCATTTAGCGACTACAGACAGTTTCAGTGAGAAAGCTAAGATCAGTGTATTTGTGAATGCTGAAAGACTACTGTCATCAAGAAAGAAAACACTGGGAACTTCCTGTGAACAACATACTTGCAAATATGTAGTCATTGGATGTAACCTATCNTTTTTTTTAGCGCTGTTGTGAAGTATTGCAGGGTTAATGTGGTTAGCAAAGGCCATTGGAGCAAAGCTAGCATTTAAAATGTATAAAATGGTTTTCTGCCAGTGACCTTGTAATATATGTATATACAGTATATGCCATTATTTTATCTTGGTATAAAGGCCTTTTATCTGAGTAGAATTGTTACGTGGTCTAATGTTATTTTCTGTGCCTGAGTTTTCTCTAAAAGAGTAAAATTGTAAATTGAATGATAATTGCTGGAATTGTAGTGTGTTTTTTTCTGCATTTCAAATCCACCCAGAACAGCCAGTGACTCTTCCAAGAGATAAAGCTATCAAATTATATATATATATTAAAAATACCGAGCTTTACTAGGCCTCAGTTGGGATGGCAGCGTTATTCCATCTCAACACTCAACGCTAGTGAAGAAAAAAAACACATTTGAAGTGTAACTCAGAAGCGAATCCTCCCTGTAGGATTTTAAATGTCTTAATTATTTAACCAGAGTTTACAAAATAGCTGGCTTTTGGGAAAGACTCACAAGGTCTTAATTGTAAATTGCAATGGAATAAGCGTGTTAACATTTGAACCATTTATAGTATGAATTCAAGGCAATAGATTTGGGGAGAAGAAATGTTTCATGTTAGTTTCAAAGCCAAATTAAATAAAAAATAAAATAAACATTAGTGTTCGAATCTAATGTTATGTAAAAGATGCTGTAAATTTGAGTATCACTGTGGTGCTCGTTTGGAACTGTAGGAGGTAGGTGCCAATTCACCATGAAACCAAATTAACATGATGAATGAATCGGTTTGTGGCGTCAGTAATGTGGGGTTTGAGTTTATTTGAAACCGTCACCGATGATATGCACCTCGCTAGTAGGAGACACATGATGCATCCTTAAGAAATGATTAAATGTTTTCCTTTTTATGGGAGCTTCATTGTTCGGGCTGTCCATTCCTGTACCCGATGTCCATGTCTTGCTTTTGACGAATCGATCATTTTGTGTCTGGGATTGACTGCTCAAAATTCACTCCATAAATTTGACCTGAAGTTGAAACTAGATCCCAAAGGTGAAAGGATAATTGAATGTACTGCTACTGTACTTAGGATTTAAATAGTGACCTTTGCCTACACCCATTGAATATGATCAAATACTTCCTATCTACAGGTAGAATTGTTCTATTTTATATTGTGCTTGCTTTAGCTGGACATTTGCCAAGGTATTCATCTTTTTGCCCCTCAGGAAACTGGACCTGATCATAGAAACACTTCACTTATAACTGATCACTTAATATCGTACCAGAAAAAATCATGTCTGCAGGCCAGACAACGTCTCCAGGCCGACATTAATCAATTAATTAAATTGATCTATTCTAGTGCACGGCTGGCAGCGTGCTACATTGTTGGACGTGTTGTACTTCAGCCTCTTCAAGTGGATGTTAAGGATCCCATTATACTTCCAAAAGAGAAGGGAATTCCTGTTGTTGCAAACAATCCTCCGCATAAATTGGTACTTCACTTCATGCCTAGTTTTGGAAGAGTACACTGTGCAAATTGGGTGTCACTTTCTACAAGTTCAGCCACTACACTTTACAACAATTCCCCCCCAGTAAAGTACTTTGAAATAGTGATGTATCCAATTCAAGGGTTATAGAAATTATTACCGATTGACTAAATACCAAACTACAAATTGATCTATTCCTCAAGCTACTATTAATTCTATAAACGGACATCCACTTTATTATAATATGATTGCACAAAGTAGTGGTGGCTGGAATTATTAGGTTTAATTCATAAAATATTCTGAAAAATACCCATGTGTGTACACATAGGGTTCCTATAAGCACTGCCATCTGTGCTAAATTTATAGATGACCAATTCACAAGACAAAAGTGAATGAAAGTTTTATAAACATTGCTTACAAATTGCAGAGCATTGATCACCTTCACAACTGAAAACAAATATTCTAACTTTGTACAAGAATAATTCGAAAACGCCTGGCAAGCCGAAAATCAACATTCACTCTATCCTGAGCGTTAGGAATTGTGTTTGGTGCTGAGTGGATCCAGTTCAGACCAAAATTCTTTTCACATAATTCTGCACATTTGAATGGAGTTGGTTCTTTGTAGCTGTGAAGATCTCCTGTGCCAGTTTACGAGTCGTGTCAGTTCCACCCCACATGGCTCGGTAAACAGGAAGAGTGTACTTTTGCTTTCCCTGTCAAAATAAGAAAACATTTGCCAAAAGTTAATTTTATTAGCAAGCGTTCTTGTGGTTTTACCACCCCCTGCCCCATCTCTTTCGACAATTTTCTGCCTTGCAGGTAGGTAATTTAACTCCCCACCCCCTCCCCCCCACTCCTTCTAAATGTGGTACATCTCGTTTCCAGTACCTCCTCCAAATGGGAATTATATGAGCCTTGAGAAGAAGTGCCATCAGGCTATTTGACCACTTTATCACTGCCAAGCTTGATGATAGTTTTCACTCTATGTTCAGAGATGTGCAGAGGAACTGATGCCAATTTCACCATCCTTTGTCCCACGTTAGCTATATTCAGCTAACCCGGGACATACTAGAATTTTTTTTTAAATGTTAAAGTAACTGATAATTTGCAAAACTGAAACTGAAATTTAACACTAAATTTCACAAAGAATCATAGAGAAGTGATTAAAGTTGTCTAAAGGTCTCCTAAACATTTCAATTTCACAGTCTTTATTAGATCGGTTGCCAAAAAACATGATTTTTATCCTCCAGCACGCTTTGGCAGAAGCTGCTCTTTGTATCGTATCTTTTATAATAGGTTGAAAAAAAAATTGATCTTACAAACTGATGTCTGGTGACGCAAATGCCTGCTGTAATTCCAGTGAGCATTCCAGGTCACAAGTCTTTCATTGTGAAGGATTGTGATACATAAAAATGTGAAAAGGACGGTCACAAGAACATAACACACCTGACTGTGGAGGAAATTTCTGAGTTCCTCAAAACCTGGCTCGAAGTTATTTTTCACAACAATCTGCGCCCAACGAAGACGCAGTTCAGCATTCTTAGCCTGAGATATCTTTGGGTACGTGTCAGACAGCTTTGCCAAGTTTCCTGTGAAAGCAAACATATTCTACATTTTGTTCCCACTGCGAATTATCAGCATTTTTATTTAAAAGTATTAAACTTTTTCCTGACGATATTTGGTGGAAAAATATCGATCGGCAGTTATATGTAATGGAAATAACAGCAAATATGGTGTCACTGTAAATGAAAGGTATAATACACGATGCAAAGTAACTAGTGCTTTAGCCAAGTGAAAAAAGTATTACCGCATTGCAGTTGTCTATTTAACATTCCTAGTTGACTTATTATTCCTGATGTTTCCCATTGTTAGATGCAACATCCTCACATTTACCTGCTGAATTTGAGGTCAAAGCAGGTCAGAATAATCATTGAAGGAGAAGTGCAAGAGTACACAGGTAATCCACTGCGTTTAAGTCTATAACGGTAAACTCAATGACCTCACTCCCCCCAATGTAAACTTGTATGCAGCAAGGCACTACTTGATACTTTATAATAATAAAATGCAATCCTTTCATTTGATGTAGTGCCTTATCATGTCGTTTAGACGTCTCAAAGTGCTTCAGAGGATATATAGTAAATTGGATTTACTGTATTTTGTGGGCAAAAAATATAACAAACAGCATTTGGGTTACATTTCTGAAAGGTTATGAACTTTAAAGAAAGATTTACTTGTGCCCCGTTTATACTGCTGGAAATGAATTGATCAGCAGGGAATCCCAATTTACATTTATCCCAATTCATAATCATATTGAATGAGGACTGAGGAGAGTTTTGCACACAGAACAATAGAATCATAGAATTTTATGGCAGAAGGCTATTCAACCCATTGCGTCCGTGCCTGTGCTGGTTCTTGTAGAGAGCAATCCTTTCAGTCCCCTTTACCTGCACTTACCCCTAAAGTTTACCCCTTTTTGCATGTTTAGTCAGTTCCCTTTAAGAGAACAGCGTAAAGCTTAGGTAGGATAGACTTTGTCACTGCTACCCCTCTTGAGCTTGATGTCAAGTGTTATTTACGATATGCTTTGAGGACAGATCACGATTAATGTCAGAGGTGTAATTATCATATTCTTTACCTCGAGGCAGAGGAGATATTTCCACCACTTTATCAAGGAAGTGCACAATCTGGTAGGTCTTCCAAGAGGAGAGATCAATATCTTTAATAGCATCACTATTCAGATCTTCAGCTGCCCAGAGAGATGCCAAGGTTTCAGCCGGTTTCATCAGAGTAAGGCCAGGTGAAAGATCTGGGAGATAAGGTGGCCATCCAGGCTTGTTCAGCCAGCAATCAAATTCATATCCTAACATCAAAAAAGGCCATTAGACTGTTGGAATAGAGCAGCTCAGCATATTGTTAACACTACTATTCAAATACTCATATATAGCCACTCTTTAACCTCTATTTCCCTCGATTGACAAGTAATAATAATAATCCTTGCATTTGATTTAGAGCAATTCTTCAGAACGTCTCAAAGCTCTTCAAGCGCAAAGTCACATAAGCAAAACATGTGCCNTTTTTTTCATGGATTTCGACGAGGGAAAACTACTGACCAATACGTCAGAACTTTTTGTTCTTAAAAATAGTACCATGGGATTGTCACAACTTTCTCTACCCACCAGAACAGGCGGGAAAGATCTGAGCTCAAAATTTCATTTGAATGACATCGACGGCAATTCATCTGAGCTGGAGTATCAGCCTAGATTAAGAGCTCATGTGGGACCATTCTTATTAGGTATATTTATGATTTTCTTGCAAAATCTGTCTAAGGATCTTGTTTGTTTCTTCGTATTTAACAAAGCCATTCAGCAATCATTAATTACCAGAACATGGGTTTTTTCAGGTTAAAAGCAATGTGTTTTGAAGCCATTTATCACAAGTGTCATTTAAGCGATTGATTGGTAGCACTGTATTCGAAAGATCAATTCCTAACCTGGGCAAATGCTTTCATAGCAAGACGAATATCAAAGATATCAGCAGTTGGAATAATGAAATATATTTTGCATAATTTCAAAGCATTAGTGGAGAAATTTGCTTTACCTGGTCTTTTCGCAACATCCTTTTCCTTCAACTCTGGGAAATAATCTAAATAAAAACTCAAAGCATCTTCTGCTACAATGCTTTGAAACTTGAACTTGTTTACATACGCCTGCAAAGAGAGAAATACATTAAGCACACAAACAATTTTGTCATCACTTCGTAGAGTTAAAAGTGTGCAGGTTCTCAGATAAATTTGGACAATCTGAAAAATGCAAAATGATCAATTGATTTAACTAGTATTTTGGTAATGTAGAGGCTTGAGTTTCACCTAGAAATCAGATTTACAGTTATTTGGTATTATTTATAACTTAAATTATTCTAAAAGGAAAGACAAAATTCCCCTTTAATATTATTAGTAATATTGATATTCCTTCATTTGATACAGTGCCTTTCACGTCAGGAAGACGGTTCAAAGTGCTTCACAGGATTTTCTGTAAAGTGTAGTGACTGTGTATTTTGTTTAGAGCTGTCCCAACTTATGAATCAGTCAATACTTCAGGACAAAACACAGCTTGTAATCAGAGGGAGGGAGCCAGGGAAATAAAATTATTGCAAGGGGAAGAAACTTTAAAATAGGAAATCAAAAAGTGCAAACAGCATGAATCAAGCAATGGTTACAAATTTAAATATCTTGTTTGCCCCCCACATTAAATCTCCCTGCAAACCATCTGCTCCTGAACACAAACAAAAGAGGTGACCAGTTCATTCAATCATTCATTCATTGGCGTTCTTACCTGAAGGAAAGCATCAAATCTGCTCTGATCGCCCACGAGATGAGCTAGATATGATACAAAACAGTAGCCCTTCTCATAGGGAGTTTCGTTGTACGTGTCATCAGGATCAATACCTACAAAGAAAAAAGGAGTAACAAAATCAGAGAAGGTAATTTCTCCATAAAATTAAACTCCAGCATTAGGAGAACTCTCAATGAAATATTGATAAGCACATTCCAGTTGCACAACTCTTTTGTGCTTTCACAGTGAAAGATTTTTAGAAGTGTTCTAGTTAGATGGTTAGCACTTTTAATGTTGTGGAACACAATAAAGAAAATAACTAATTGGGCCGTGAAAACTATAAAACGTAAGTTTCACCAAAAAACGTAATTCAATTAACAGGCCTAAATGGAGTATAGAGTCTGAAATCTTACCCGGTTCAATTTTGACCTTGAGTTTGTTGAGTGGGTGATCCTCCCCAGTATTATTCATATGTTGACGGAGAAGAGCTCTCCCTGTGGCAGCCTCAAGGCTAGTGTACGCTGCCCCTGAAATATAAATATGTTCTTAGGATGTGGTGGTATCACAAAATCAGGATTAACAAACATAATGATAAAACTCCTTGCATTTGATACAGCGCCTTATCACGTCATTGAGACGTGCTCCACAGAATATATTGTAAAGTGAATTGACCGGGTATTTTGTGGGTGAAACACAGCAGCCAATTGAGATTAATCAATGACAATCAACTAAAAATCGATAGCGACCGGGTCAATGTGTGCTGCGTTAATAAGAGCAGTTCGACATCTTTGAGACGTCTCAAAAGCGCTTCACAGAATATACTGTAAAGTGAACTGACTGTATATTTTGTGGGCGGAATGTGGCAGCCATTTGCGCACAGCAGTGTCCCACAAACAGTCATGGATTGAAGTGAACAGTGTATTATTATTATTTTTTTTGAAGTAATTATTACCCCCAGTACAATAAAGGAACAAGTCCTCATTCTACATGGCAGACTCCATTACAGTAACCCACAACACCATCAAACCATATTCTGCACTGATTTCAACCTGTTGTCATTTCACGTAGAATATTAACCCTCAGAAATTGGAGGCTGTGCTTGCAAATTGTTCGTTTTAAAAAATATGTACAGTGTTTTTCTAAGATTTTAAAATCAGGATTAACAAACATACTCGAAGAGGCATACCGTATATTTCGGTGGTAATTCTCCGCTGAGCGTACATCGTAAAACCCTCATTGAGCCAAAAGTCCCCCCAGTTGGCATTTGTGACCAGGTTCCCAAACCAGCTGTGAGAAATCTCGTGGATGATGACGTTGGCCAGTGAGCGGTCACCGACCAGTAAACACGGAGTCAGGAAAGTGAGGCAGGGATTCTCCATCCCACCGTAAGGGAAAGACGGAGGCATGAAGAGGATGTCGTACCTTAGGGTATCACAAGAGATGAGTTACATCGAGAAGAATTCAATCAAAAGGTCAGGGTACCCAAGCAGGGTGTTCTAACCTTTTGGATGCCCTATTTGAGTCACGATGGTGGGCCACATAAGCAATACGTTTAATATTATTAATTGACGAGGTTCTTTTGCCCTCGCTGTGCCCTCCAGCTTGTTAATGAGCTGTGAAAATGATATTCAAGTCAACTGGAACCAAAGTTAGCAAGTGCGGTATTGTGATCTTCAGGTGGAAATCAGAATCACCAGGTCAAAAGTGACACCCTAAGTCAGCTAAAAAAATGCCTTTCCTCTTGTCTCACCCATCAGCTCTGTGAGCCCAGCCCATAGGTAAAACAAACAATCCCCTTATTCAGCACGAATCTCTCTCCCTAAGCAACACCCCAAGATAAAAATAAAGGTGGAAACATTGCTGTTAGTTGCAAAGGAATGGGAGTTCTTTAAAATCAACTGCACATGGTTGAGATGCAGTGATATGGCGTAGTTTGACTTTTCTGTCAATAAGTAGGTGCTAAACCTCAAGGGCATATTCTGTGGGTAGGCTTCAAAATAGGTCCTTAAACTGGATAACTAGTCGGCATCACAGTCAGTCTGATCCTTCCCATTATTTGTCACGCACCCAGACATGCACGCACAGGTACAATACAGCCTAAGGTTCACTTGAAAAGCAAGTAGAAGCTCCAGGCTATTTCCCTCCCTAACCCAGGAATGCTGTGGCCAAATGGTACATCTGAATAATAATAATAATAATCCTTACATTTGATACAGCGTCTTATCACGTCTTCTGGACGTCTCAAAGCGCTTCACAGAATATACTGTAAAGTGAAATGACTGTATATTTTGTGGGCGAAACCTGGCAGCCAATTGCATACAGCAGTGTCCCACAAACAGTCATGGATTGAAGTGACCAATTTATTATTATTTAATAATATTTATTATTAATATTATTATCATCATCAATGCCATCGCTGGTGAGGGCATCAAACCTACAATAAATGAGAAACAGCTGTTCCCCATCCAGTCCAAGGTTTGAGATTTGATAACACATTTAACGCAAACAAAAAAGAAAAATCCCAGATAGCCGTGTGAAGGATTTTGTCTTATCTCCGGGTCAAAGGGTTTATGGACAGCCACTCATGTCTCCTCCACTTAATAACAGTCTTACACAAGGGTATCCATTATACTAAATACATGATCAGAAAGATTTACCTTCCCCAGACATACGGTCCAAACAGCTTCTCGCCAACGGTCAAGAATTCCTCAATCACACCATCGTACTCCTCCTTCGCAAGATGTAACAGGCAGGGTTCCGTCCAGACTCGGCTCCTGTACCAAAAACGAGCTGCTGTTAAAAAGGTCTTGCGTATCAAGACTGACTTAGGAACATGTACCTTATCTTTTCCCCTCTAAATACTGAGGCAAATCTTTTTTTCCCCCCCCAAAAAAAAGTAATGTGTAATCGGGGTCAGTGCCTATTGATTCACCACGCTTCAAAACGTGCTGTGTTGGTGCAAGACAGACTAGTTTACATATCCTTTTAAACTATAGGACTAGTCAAGTGGTCTTTTTCTAGTTTTATACATTCCCATGTTCCCTTCTGTCTTTCAAATGATCTCTTCAAATTAGACTTTACTATAATAATAATCCTTGCATTTGATACACGTCTTTTTGATCTCACGTCTTCGAGACGTCTCAAAGCGCTTCACAAAATATACTATAAAGTGAATTGACTGTATAATGTAGTGCATTAGTTTCTCTGAATCAGACACACCCGTGCTGGATTACCATACAAGAGTGACTTCTTGCACTCTCTGGGCTGTTTGAACTGATTGCATGGGAAGCAGAGGACTTGCAAAAGCAGAACAGAAAGTAGACTCGAGATACTTGCTGTGCAGCCAAAATGCAGAGATGAGTCACTCACCTCGGCCCAACCTCTGCAGACACAATATCACCAACAGCTAAAGCAATCAGATAAGAGGGAACGGGCTGATGCATTTTGAAATGGAACGTGTTTTCCTTTGCATCGTGCTCCCATTCAGTTGCGCTCATGACAGCGGTAAATCCTTCGGGAACCTAGAATGGAAACAGTAAAGCGCACATCGAAGTTGTTAGAACAAATAATAATAATCCTTACGCCTGATATAGTGCCTTATCATGTCTTCTAGACGTTTCAAAGTGCTTCACTGAGTATACTGTAAGGTGTATACACTGTTATATTTTGTGGGTGAAAGGTGGCAGCTAATTGCGCCCAGAATCACTCCCACAAACAGTCGTGGATTGAATGGCCAAATTATTTTTTTTGAAGGAATTATTATCCCCGGAAAAGCGATCCGCCAATCGACTCACTAGAAGACGTGAAAAGCGCTATATCAAATGCAAGGATTATTATTATTATTATTATTATTATAACAGCCAGGTTCCTACTTACTGCTAGTTAAACAGAGGTGAGTGGAGTAAGGAAACTTGCTCAACATTTCGCCCTGCCCGGGAATCGAACCCAGGTCCTCTCGCTTGTGAGGCGGGTGCTCTAACCACTGAGCTACAGGTCTCTCAGTCAACAAAGGTCTGGGTCCAGCTTCCAAATCCACAACCACTTGCTTTACCTTTCAGGGACACATTTAAGGAAAGTTATATGTACGAAAGTTAAGAAAAAAACCTAAATAATTGAAATTGTGCTTCCTGACAAAACAATCGTGACACGCAATTATATTCAGGACACGATGACATACGTAAAAGCGACCCAAATGCCACGAATGGTTCTGCTTGTAGTATTTAACCTTTCGAGGGGTCGCAATCAACAACAAAAGGAAACACACCTTTAAACAAAAAACATACAATGTTACCCAACTAGACTGTGCCGGTATTTAATCTCCACGTGAGCTTCCATCCATCCTATTCTTCCCTCTTGCACCTCTCTATTCCCTTCTCTCTTTCTCTCTCTCTCTCTCATGTATATAACCTACAATCCTTCACACAGATTCGATAATTTTCTTTTAAGAAATAACATTATGGGATACAGAACATGGGTAGTTTGGGACAATATGTGCGAGCGACCGCCAGGAAGGTGGAAGGCGAACTAGATGGACCCTGCCTGGTCTTTTTTTCGTCCAGCATTTCTTATGTACTAAGTCTCTGCTTAAATCCGTTGGTACTTTCTGCTCCAAACCACAGCTTACAGCAGTCAAATTGAGAGTAATTTCAGCACGACTCTCCCTTCCAAATGAGCTGATTGATAACAGAAATATAACCGTGTGCACTGACTGAACAACCAAGATGGTTAATGCCAAACAGCATCGTGCCTATAAATACTGATTTAGGAATCGTCCCGCTCTGTTGATTTCATGACCTTTTCCATCGGTATTGGCTTTACAAATGCAACCCTGCAGCGCCATTATTCAGCATTATTTGGATCTAGCTGTAGATAAAATTACACACAACTATTATATTAACGGGCGGCACGATACTCCCGACGAGAAAGCAGGCATAGATTAACAGTTTCCTGAACAACAACTTGCACTTATGTGGCGCTCTCCACACCGGCTATCGACTCCAGAGCGCTGTAAGATGAAAGGCGAGACACCATTTCGCAATGTCCCTTTTAATTATTCTTTTTGCCGCGTTTTTGAGTCTTGTGACTGTAAATCAGCCGTTTGAAACGAAGGGTGGAGGGGGAGGGGGAAGGGGGCGGGGGGTGGGGGTGGCAAAAGAGAATCTTTTCACGAGACTTACCTTAACGGAAGCAGAGTAGGTGCTCTTAACAGCAGGCGTATCAAAGCAAGGGAAGAAGGACCTGTTGCAAACGGCCTGTCCTTGGGTGAAAAGATACGGCTTCTTCTTCCCTGCCGTCTGCTCAGGGTCCAGCCAAACAACCTGACGGAACAGACCGACGCGAGGATATTAAGACATTACCTGCGCTGCGGGAGAGTGGGTGCCGGAAGGGTGGACGCGTAAGGGGTAGGGGGGAAAGGGGGAATGAGCTGACGTGGACAGGAAAATCCAGATGTAAAGGAGGGAAAGGTTTCTCTTTCCGGGTGGTTTGTGGCCGACGAAGCCAGGACATCTGAAGCAACAAAAAGTATGATGATAATAATAATATTAATAATAATCCTTGCATCGGATACAGCGCCTTATTATGCCGTTGCGACGTCTCAAAGCGCCTCGCAGTATGTACCGTAAATCGGAACAACTGTGCATTTTGTGCAGCCGCAGCGTCCCACTAACAGCCACGGAGCGAGTGACCGATTTTATTCGTTGGGGTGGGGTGGGGGGGGATCGTTGCCAGGACACTGACCAGGAGGGCGGCCGTAGGCACGGTGGAAAAGGAAGGTCTTTAGACGGGACTTGAACAACAAGGGGGCACAGAGACAGAGGGTGTGTGTCTGTGTGTGGATGTGTCTGTGAATGTATGTGTGTGTGTGAGTGTGTGTGTGTGATTGTGTGTCTCTGTCCCTGTGTGTCTGTGTGTGTGTGTGGGGGTGTATCTGTGTTTGCATATGTGTGTGTGTGTGTGTCTGTGGGTGTGTGTGTGTATGTGGGTGTGTATGTGTCTGTGTGTGTGGGTGGGATGAATGTGTTTGTGGGTGTGTCTGTCTGTCTGTGTGGGTGTGTCTGTCTGTCTGTGTGGGTGTGTGTCTGTGTGGGTGTGTCTGTCTGTGTGGGTGTGTCTGTCTGTCTATGTGGGTGTGTCTGTCTGTGTGGGTGTGTCTGTCTGTCTGTCTGTGTGTGTGTGTGCGCAGTCGGCGCTGATGCTCTCACTCACCCCGGGGCCGTCGGTGGCGGTGTAGCGGACAGTGACCTGCAGCTGGTCCCCGGGGAGACAGGGGGTGGGGAAGGTCACCTCCAGGGTGGAGCCGTAGCCGGTGAAGGGGAGCGTCCGGTGCTGGAGGGGCACGGGCTGGGCAGAGCCCGGCAGCCGGGCGGACACCCCCGGGAGGACGGTCAGGCTGGGGTGGGTGTCCAGCCGGAGCTCAGGGCAGCCCAGCAGACAGCCGAGCTCCAGCCGCACCTCGCCCTCCAGCCGCTTCCCCTCCAGGTCCACCCGCAGCTCCAGGTGCAGGTGCCGGAGCTGGAAGTGTCGGCAGTTGGACGAGGTGGCCACGTCCTGGACCATCCGGGAACACAGCTCCGCGGCCATCGCTCCGGCTGAGGCCGCGTCTGTGTCTGAGTGTCTGTCTCGGTGTCTCGGTCTCTGTGTGTCTCTGTCTGTCTCTCTCTCTCTCTCTGTCTGTCTGTGTCTCAGTGTCTCTCTGTGTGTCTCTCTCTCTCTCTCTCTCTCTCTGTGTCTGTCCGTATGTCTGTGTCTCTCTCTGTGTCTCTCTCTCTGTCTCAGTGTCTGTCTGTGTGTCTATGTCTCTCTCTGTGTCTCTCTCTCTGTGTCTCAGTGTCTGTCTCTGTGTCTGTGTCTCTCTGTCTCTCTCTCTGTGTCTCAGTGTCTGTCTCAGTGTCTCAGTGTCTGTCTCTGTGTCTCAGTGTCTGTCTCTCTCTCTCTCTCAGTGTCAGTGGCTGAGCAGTGACTGCCCCCCGAGGCCCCGCCCCCTCTCTCTCTCTGTGTCGAGTTCCTGTTTCCGGCTTTGCTTTTACTGCTCTAATGTTACACACAACACTACACCCCATATACACACCATATACACAGCACATACACAGCACCATATACACACCATACACACATCCCCACATACACACCCTATACACAAATCCCATACACACACTCCCCCATACACACAGCATCACACACACACACCCATACTCCTCCCCCCCCATACACACACACCCCTATACACCCCCCATACACACTTCCTTCCCCCCATACACCTATACACACACACACCCCTACAGACATCCCCCCCCCACACACACTCCCCCCACTACACATACACATCCCCTACACCGCCCCCCCCCCCCCCCCCCACACACACACACACACATCGCCTACACACAGGCCCCCCAAAACACCCCCCCTATACACACGCCCCTGCATACAGCCCCCCATACACACCCCCCCTCCATACACACTCCCCCTATACACAGCCCCCCATACACACACCCCATACACACACACCCCACACACACACACCCCACACACACACACCCCATACAGACACCCCCCCCCATACAGACACTCCCCATACACCCCCCCACACACACACCCCCACATGCGCACACAGCCCCCCTATACACCCCCCTACACACCCACACACAAACCCCTATGCACAGTCCTATACACAGCCACCCATAAATGTGGCTATACACAGCCATTCCATAAATTCACTGCCCTCTGAGTGAAGAAATGTTTCCTCAACTCTGTTCTAAAAGGCTGACCCTTAATTTTAAGGCTGACCCCTGGTTATAGATTCTCCCACCGGGGAAACAGTCCCTCGGTGTCTATCAGCCCTTTAAGAATCTTATATGTTTCAATAAGATCAAATGGAAGGATTATTATTATTATCATCAGTAATAGAGGCTATTTTGAATTGCCAGCTCCGCTAAAAAACACATGGTGTTGTTCATCCGTGGCGGTCTCTCGTCTCCGCAGTATTCCAGGGCACTGCTGACGACACCGCAGCCCACCAACCTTTCTTGGTACCTGTGCACTGTGTACTTGTGCTCAAAACTGATAGGATTTATTGCATCCCATCACTCACATTCTTACCTTTTCAGTACTTTTACATTTGTTGGGAGCTCCCGTTGTGTCGGACAAATCCCTACACTTTCTCCCGCATTATGTTTGGCAACGTGCTATGATAAGACATGGAGTTAAACTACTTTAAAAGCTCATCGAAATGAAAAATACACAAGTGACAGCTAAGTAGAACAGATCATTGCGGACCCGTTAAAAGCTAAAATAATAAAAACAAGTTTGTATCATTAATAGAAATGTGTTTATTATGTTCTGTTGAGAGCCATTCCATGTTTTCCAATATTTTAAAATATCTTTTGTACAAAAAAACATACAATTCCGACCCCCTTCGTCTACAATTAGAATTTGAATCCGCTTCCCTTGATTGTGTGTGTGTATATATATATACATTATTAAAAATTGACTGTAACATACATTAAAGAATGATCATATTTATTTACTAAAAGGTCAGATATTTTTAAATGTTTGGCAGCCTGTTCCAAAGGTATACACACAACCGATAAACAGATAAAGAACAAAACTGACTGCTGTAACTCTCAAAGGTACCGCATAGAACAAAAAGTTGCAGTTTCATGTCAACAGCCGGTACATGGTTTGAGTTGAAGTGTAAACAAAGTCTTGATTAATTCATGTAAAGTAGAACGATGGGTAAACTTCCGAGTAAAAGTGTTTCCTGTCAAATCATTTGAAGATAGTTTTTGGACCACCTTCAAAGCACTCCATAACTTGGGAGCCATATAGTTAATTAGTTATTCAAGTCGAGGCTTTATCTGGGACCTTGCTCTGTGCCACACGTCTTCCCACAGAAAATAGTTTTCCCACAGAAAAATCACTACGCTTGACAAAAATGACTGTGAAGCATCTTGATGAACTTCGACAAACGTACAAAGCAATTTGTTTCCTTTCATTGTAAAATCTTAATGTTACGGATATATTAACCTTGTGATTACATTTATTGTTTTCTCAACGTGGAACCTAAGTTTCTCCCTGCACCGTAACCATAACCTTAAGCAATTTATTTTGTCTTGTGGTACAACTTTCTTCTTCCAGCTTCCAGCGCCCTGGGATGTCTTTCCGATGTGAAGGGCGCTACACAAGTGTAATCTGTTGTCGTTCTTGATTCCTGACAGTGGGAGCTGTGCTGTGATGGCCCTCACGTATACAAAAAGTGGATTTCCTGAAAGATTCCTGACCAGTCTTAAACCTTTTCGAGTTTGGGGCTCTTCTCGGGATGACAGGAATGCATTTTTAGACAACAGGAGCAGATTCTATTTAAGTGAATTGAAGTTCTCTCAGCCTATGTGCGATTGAGGAAATCTGAGTTGATAGAAACTGAAAGCTTAACATCTTATTTGACATTTTATTTACAGGTTCGTTCAGGTCACTGAGTGGGCAAAAGTCACTCTGTAACGGCCATGTGATCTGTACCTCATCCACTTGGGGAAAATATACACATATATATATATATATTCTTTTAAAATCTGCACTTCGACCTAAATAGAACAGTCTCGCCACTAACCAAACCGATCAGACTCGTACGTGTCAGAAGAATTCACTGATCGTCCAAGTTTAGTGTCCAAAGTCATTCACACAGTGGAATAACCAGACTTGTCCTGTCCTCCTTACCTCACAGTGGAAGAGTCTGTGAAACTGAAACACCAGGGAGTTTTATAATGGCTTCTCGAGCTGAACTCTTCCTCAGGTAAACCTGCAGTGTTCTCCTGGAGACTCAGCTCTTGCATAGGTTATCCTTTTGGGAGAGTTCATCAATGTATAATAGCTTATTCAGGTCTGTCAATGTAGCATTACTCACATAACAAATGCTCTTTTCTGCAGGAGGATGTGTTCTGTACTGCACCACGCACTTTCAAGTAGTGAATCAGTTAAATGTGGGTTTAAATTGCAATTCTTGCCTGTGTTCCAAGTCTTGCAAATTGTCCGTATAACACTATTCATAAGTTAAAATTGTAAATGCATCTTAAACATCTCCAGAATAAATTTACAAAACTGCATCAAAGGGAGAAGAATATCGATTAGTCCACTTCAATGAATTCACTCAGGATAACTCCTTTGATACGTTAATACATTTGGTGTTTAGTTATCTTTAATGGGATTGTAACTTTATAAAAGTACGCTGTCATTGATTAGGCGTTAAGCTTTTGTTAATAAGATAACTAAGGAGAACATAAATAAGAGACATGTTTAAAATGTACCAATAGGCAACGAGTTTGAAATCTCTGCAGACGTTCAATATACCCTCTCGGTATACTGAATAACCCAGCAAGCAGTCTATAAAGTTAGCACAAGAGATGCAGGAGGACTTTGGAGGGTTAAGACCAGGAAACCATCAGGTGTGGACGAAAGCTGATTTTAAATATTAATAGTTCACCTCGTGAATCAGACTCATGATCTGCAGTTTGAGTTCCCACAGCAAGCCTGGACTCGGCTTATTCCTGCCAATGGTATTGTGCAATTGAACAGGTTTGTATCAAAGGTTGCTGTTCCAGGAAATGTGCTCCCTCGCTCGCGCCAGTGATTGTTACGCTGACACACTTGACACGATCTGGATTTTCAACTGGCAGGAATCAAGACCTCAGAACTGGCTTGCAACCTCGGACTCTTCTGTCATGTACCACTTCCTCTGCTGCGGATGATCAGGGGCATTTTGAGATAAATGTCTCTGCGGATTCGAGGAGAGAGAAAAAAAAAAGTTCAAAATTAATGGCATTTTCTTCCGGGAACATCAATAATACCAGTAAAACAGTAATACTTTTCATAGGCGGATGTTGGGATCAAAATTGCAGCTGTGATGTGCTAAACAGCCTCGCTGTCACCACTCTCACCTGTTGGTTCAGAAGGTTGTGGGTTTAAACCTCACCCACATCAGGGACTAGGAGCTCATAGGTGAGGCTGACTCTCCAGTGCAGTGTAATGGGGGGAGCACTGCATTCACAGTGTCAGGTGTTGTCGTTCTGACTGTCTGCCCGTTCTGACGGATGTTAAACATCCCGTGGCATTATTTGAAAAGAGAAGGGAATTTCGCCTGGTGTCCTGGCCATCAAATACCAGCAGGAAATGGTCATTCACTTCATGGCTGTGTGTGAGACATCGCTGTACACAAATTGTCTGCCGTGTACACCTACACTTCAAGAAAATCCTGTGAAGTGATTTGAAATGTTCTGATGTGGCGATAAAGTGCTATATCAAATACAAGGATTGTTTTTATTCTTGCTTCAGGTCCAACCATTGCAAAGACCGGTCAGCAGAGCAGAATAATTAATCACGCGTTAGTTAGTGAATCAGTATTTTTGAAGTTCCAGAGTTCATTGACATCTTTGACCTCCGTATGTTGTAAGAATATTCAGCTTTTTATGATGGTGCAATAGTTGAACAACACTGTCGACAGTACTATTAGTGAACCTCAATGAAAACACTATGTTCTTCCCTCTATCCCTATTCTAATCTAGATATAGCCATCCAACTACAAGGAAATAAAAATCATCAAAATAGGTGATACAAGGACAGAATGTGAAAAATTAACTCATTTTCCTCTCTCCATAGATGGTGCCTGACCTGCTGGATGTTCCCAGCGCCTTCTGATTTTATTTCAGATTTCCGGCATCTGCAGTATTTTGCTTTTTGTTTTGGTGCTATCTGGGATGGTTTCTCATCTCTCAGTACTCTCCAGCTCAGAAACAGATTCCAAAGATAAACATTTACAAGGAGGAAGAGGACACTGTCCAAATATCAGCACTTTTGACATTTATAGTAATCTCTGAACTCAAATTGAACTGGACAAAATGTGTCACATTTTCGTTATATCTGCCTCAACCCGAATCAAAAGATATTCACCAAACCCGTGTGTTTTACATCCTACCCACAATAATCTCAGCAGTAAGTTGAATATACAGCAAGTCAATTTACAGTTTGGGTTGAGGATTGTTGTATGAGTAATAGTAATCCTTGCATTTGATAAATACTGGACATCTCCAAGTCCCGACTGAATTCCGATTTCAGACTGAATTCTTTTCCCATTGCGGTCTGATTTACAGAGCTCTTTTTTTAAACTGTAAGAAATTTCATTAGAATCAACCAGTGGATTGAGCTGGAGCAGAATTCCCGTGGGTGGATGTGGTGGACTTCCCATTACCGGAAGGAGTCTAGATTTTGCTCAACGCTAATCCCTCATCAAGGAAGCCCATTAAGACATACCGTAAATCAGAACCACAATACAGCGCTCGTCATTTCACAGCTTCAGCTGTTTCGAGCACATTCCAGAATCCAACCCTGTGCTGACTGGAAACAGCCACCGGGTGTCATCCAAAGGGACATCAACAGCTCCAAAATTGGCTGATTTCAGATTAAACTCAAACAAAGGCACTAACTAGGTGGGTTAAGACACTGCAGTTTCGTCCACTTAGACCTGGCTCTCAATCGACCACAAACCGACTGACTGGATCCTCCAGGAATCCAGTTTGGACAGTCTCAACCAGTTCCTCTTAAGGCACTGTGATTTGCAACAAATTGGCAAACACACTCAGTGACCATAATGTTGATTGATGCGGAAAGGAGAAAAATCTGTTCTGCTGAATTAGGTGGTGTTCTTTTTGAAGCCAGAGCACAGCAGAAGGAGCTTAAAACTCTGAGGAGGCGTCCTGTACTACTCATCTACAAGGGCACTTCGTTGGGATGCAGGTTGTGGGGGGTGGGGAGGACCAGTTAATTCTCGAATTATTGAGCAAAACAGTGCTCTGAAAATATTACGATCTTCTTTAGAATAAAACGAAAAAGAAACCGGCCTCTAATCTTAACAGGTGAATTCCTGAACCGCACGCAGCAAAGGGAAAGAGTAAAGTAAATGACCCTTGAACTGGAATGTGAACTTGGGATGTAGACCATGATATGCGCCAGTCACCTGTTTCAGTCGCCCTTCTTAGAACTGGTTAGTAAGGACCTCTGGCAGCATCAGGTTTGCTTTGTTCGTGTCGCAAAGGTGTCACCAAGAGGGTGGATCCCATTAGAGTGAGTGCAGCAACACAGCCCATCTACTGAACATCATGACCTCATTAAAGTATGCAAACCTTATTTTTCTCAATAAATTCCCAGGGTGTGGCAACACATTAGTTTTCACCCAGATTTCAGCAGCCTCTTTAATCCTGTGACAGAAACTACATATAAAGGCATGATGAGAGGTGCCTGTGAGCAAACTGTGTACGTCGAATCCTATTTAAGTCACCTGGGAATACACATGAAAGTAAAGGCCCATTGTAGTCTTTCTGGCTGATCATGAAATAAAAATAAATCATAAAACTCTTCTAAGATAAATTATAAATTTCTCTTATACTCTCCCACTGATGTTTACTAATTTGCAAAAGGAAATTGCCCGTCTATTCAGAGATAGCGGGTGAAAAATGCAGGATTTAAGGTGATAATTGGGACATGGGACGAGGAGAAAGTATTGTGTTTGAACATCAGCACTAATGTGCACTGCGCTTGCCAAATGCCATTTGGCTCCTTGTTATGCAGCAAATAGTTTTGTTCCACCATATCTGCAATCTTCTCCAGCCCTATATCCTAGCCAGCACTCTCTGCTTTCACCCCGATTGATTACTCCCTCTCCACTGCCACAAGTCTAAGCACGTAACTACCAGGATCCTATTTATGCCTCTCTTTCGTAACCACTTTGTCTTGCTATTTCTCCATCTTGTCGAAAAGTCTCTTTGATGAAGTCACCTCTCCCACGTCTTACTCTATGATCCCCACTGTTCCCACCGTTAAGGACTTCACCATGTTCTTTTACGGAAAGAAAAATATAATATTCCAGACAGTAGATGAAATAAACTGGAATTGGAAAATGCTGGAGAAACTATTGATTAACAGTGGCATGTTCTAACCTGCTTTTGCATTCTACAAGGCAAGGCTTCGAAGAAACAAAGCACTACTAGAACAACCAGTAAAAAACCCACATCATTTGAAGTGACGTGACAGCCTGTATCTGGCACTAACCTGCCTGAACAGGGGCATTTTCTCTACTTTGAAGTAAACTTTTGATTGTTCGACTAAAGGGTTTCAAGGTAGAACCTGTGCCAATGAAGTCTGAAACGTAGCATTTGTAAACGAAAGAAAATGTGCAGATAAACAACTCTATGAACCAAGGTGTGCTACAAATTTGACTAAAATACATGACGCATTTGTTTGCAGTTTGATTACATAGAATCTCCATATCTATAATTTATCCCATTCATGTTCTCCTCGAGAAACTGAAATAAAACACCAGCAACTCTTTCCTTAAAGGTATTATTGGTATCTAGTTTATAAACAGTGTTTATTATCGTAGGCCACAATCTAAAATCATAAGTAACAGAAAACTGAATAATGGAAAAGAACACAATACCAGAATCACACACATTGGGTTTAATTACTTAATTAATTAAATATTAATTTACTATTAGTTAAATAAATGTAATTAAATATTAATGAATTACGTAGAATCCATACATCTGCAATTTACCTCATTTATGTTCTATTTAAACCTCGAGGAGAACATAAATTAGGTAAATTACAGATGCATGGATTCTATGTAATTGAACTGCAATGAATGAATCTAATTTAATTGCATAGAGAGGAGGACTATTGCAATCAGGTACAATACCCTGGTCATAAGATTTAAGAATACAACTGTAAAAATGGTGGCTGCATTTTACTAAGCTTTCATGTATCAGTGTTTGGGTTATGTCAACACCTTGGGACGTTCTACCAATGTGAAAGGTGCTAATATAAATGTAATTTCCCGTTGTTGTTGTTGTTGTCCCTTTTCATCCAAGCCAATTCTGTTTTAAAGGTGACAACTCATTGATGGAGTACAGTTCAATGGATGCCGAGTACAATCCCAAAGAAGTCATTCTTCAAGTGTAAGCTTGGACGATGAACTGGGCATCTAGTACCTTAATAACATTTTTACATACAATTGTTTTTTAGCCTTAATCATGCAAATTGACCATTGGGACATTGTGCAAATAATTACTTTCAAATTGTGATACTTAATTTGTGGTCAATATTACACTGATTGCCCCCAAACTGATCTTTTAACTTCACACACACACATATATAATATATATATATATACACACACTTCATAGAGAGATGTTATCAGGAACAGGGAATATTTCAAATTGTGCCTTCTGGCAGCTCATTATCACTTCTAATTCATTATGTAGCATCCACACAACTGTAATTTACCCCCCATTTATGTTCTCCTTGAGGTTTTAGAACTGAACACCAAAACTAAGTCGATTACCTTTCCTTAAAGGCAATATTGGTTTCGAGTTTACTGATAGGAACGGTGTTTATTAATGTTGGGCAGGTCACAATCTATGATCTTGGGGTAGCAGAAACCGCATAATGGAAAGGAACAAGTGGGTGCTGGGGTATTGAAGAGCTTTGCGACGTCTCGAAGTCATGATAAGGCACTATGTCAAATGCAAAGGTTATTATTATTATTATTATCTCGATTTTGGTTCACTCAGTTGCTAAAACTCTTGCCTCGCAAAGCCTGGCTTGAGGCCTTGTGTGTAACCTCACCTGAACAGGGCGCACTGGCCATCGAATGTAATGTTCTCGACCCCTGCTCTGCCCGTGTGGGACGCGAATGGCATCGCGCCTGTCCAGCGAGTGGGGTCGACCATTCCTTCTCCTGCTCCGTTCGTGCCACGATTTCAGCTCCTCCGATACGACTTCCCTTATCAGGCCTCTGTTGGGGTATTCCTTCAGCGAAGGCGTTCGCACTATCCTGCAGTGCGACGGAGTTATCCTCTGCACCTGGAGCGATGCATTCTCATCGTTGTAACGGCAGTCCCTGTAGAGCGGATGTTGCAACTGTTGTGTGGTGATATACTGTGGCTTCGGGGCACCGCCCCACATATGGGCCATTGCATTTACATCTGGGTGTTCAACGGCCCTGTAATAGTGGAATGAGGGGGTTGGATCGTGGTAAAATCCATCATCATTCCTCAACTGTGTAACGTATCTTCCTGTGCCTGCAGGACAATTGTACATTTGCCAATATCTGGGTGCTCCTGGATCATACTCATGAGGCATTGGAGCGTAGTTTAGAGTTGAGATGCCAGAGCTATTAGACTCTGAGCTGGGGTACCCACTCATGGAACATGATACAAACTGTGGGCTATCAATTGGTTTATTCCTAGTAGAATAACAGTCTGGCACGAAGACGGTGTAATTTGAAGGTCTTCTCTGGGGCAATAGACTTCGACCTCTTTGTTCAGAAGGTGCTTGCAACTGATTCGCGTCCACATACCTGTTTATGGCGTCAAGCAAGAAAAATGAGGGACACAAGTAATTAGTTCACATTGACCTCATTGAACCAGTCCAGCCATTTTATTTATATTTTTTCTGCAACTATAAAGTACATTAGTAACTGCAGAAATTGCTGCGTAAGTGAGGGCAATCGCAAAACGGAGGCCGAGCGTATTATTTATACACTCGGGGTAATTAATAATTAGATCAAATAAATAATTAGAACACGGCATTTGCTTGATTACACCCCCATCCTAGTCCGTCAGTACAAAGACTAATTGTAAATTCAGCCTGAGATCTGCTAATTCAGCGCAAATCAGGGATTAAATCTCAATCCTTTCTGGTTTGAACACTGCAGTGGTTCCAACAGGCAGTGCAATTATCCAATGAGTCATGGGGGAAAAGAAACCGGTGTCTACATAACCTTATAAGATCCCCACAGATTTAATTACTGCTTTGTGTCTCTTTGGTAGCCTTATATTCACCTGTGTTGCCTCCTGTGTTTAAGGTGTTGTGGAAGTATAATTGTTTTTGGTTCGAGTACATTAGACTTTCACCAGCTGCAGAAACATCCATAAACCAAGCTGGCAGTTTGTTTACCCTTAATTGCAAAAGTTGAGAGTTTTGAACTAATCCCTTTGCTGGCAGGTGGTGTTCTTTTGATGTGTCTTGTGGGGTGTCTGTTTGAAGTTCTTTTGCAGGTGTACGTTTTTTTGAACACCTGAGCCCTCACTACTTTGGTGTTTTCAGTCTCAGTTATTCCATAGCTATTGAAAGCTAGTCCCGTCTTTGTGAAACCCTGCACTATATAAATGCAAGGTGGTGGTGTTGTAAATTTCATATATAAATTACTTTCGCCCACAAAATATCCAGTCAATTCACTTTACAGTATATTCTGTGCAGTGCTTTGAGACATCTCAGCAACGTGATGATGAGGCGCTATATCAAATGCAAGGATTATTATTATTAGTTATTAGTTTCATATATGTATGTAGATAATAATAATAATCCTTGCATTTGATATAGCGCCTCATCACGTCTTCTACACGTCTCAAAGCGCTACACAGAATTTACTGCAAAGTGAATTGATTGTATATTTTGTAGGCGAAATGCCTGTGTCAGGCCGTTCAATGTAGAACTCATCAACGATTGTGACTGAATAACTCACAAACACTACAGGACGAGTGAATTAACCGAGTCCCCCGCAGAGCTCTGCAACCAACACACACAAACAAACTGTTTCGCCCCCACCTACCTGGTTTGATGGTAATTTCGCCCCCTCAGGTCTGGGGTTGGTGGGGCACTGGATGAGTTGTGATTCTGGTAGGCGAAGCTCCTCATTGAATAATGCGGAAACATTGGAAAATCACCCATCAAAGATTCCGATGGAGTCACTGATGGGCTGCTGAAAATTTTAAAACAAACAGAACTCATTGGTGATGGAAACTCTCGACACATGAATTGTTCCGCGGGTGGAGTGAGAATTGTAGCATTCGTTAGACCCACATAGAGGTTGGTGCAAGGAACAACACTTGAGATCAATCATGCACATGGGCCTAAATGTTTCGATGACTTCACCAAGGCAACGCCAGGGAGTTTAAGTAATCAAAATTGTTTTCAAGGAGAAACACAATTTGTGGCACAAATATTAGTTTCCATATTTTTGGGACTAAACTCTTTATGAGCGCCACACATCAGAGTCAGAAATGTGAGAAATGCTTATTTTTCACAATCAAGACTTTCTTGTCACGTGTATAGCTCGTATTTTATTTAATCAGTAAAACCAAACCCTGTGAAAAGATTTGAGGCATTTCAACAACCCAACAAGGCGCTCGCTACATATGTAATGCGAGTATTACTATTTTATTGTTACACATTCTAACCTATTTGATAACAATCTTCTTATTATGTTCTCTATTATATGTTATCTTGCTTATGTTTGCACGAAAATGAATGGCTTGACATGACGCGAAAAAATAAATTAATCTTTTGAGCGAAACTAGCGTGGAATCCGGTAATTGTGAGCTCTGTTATTGCAGACTTTTCGTTAAAACAAGCTATTTCCAGAATCCAGAATCACTGTTGAAGTTTCTTCGCGGGGTGTAGAAGAAAGAGCACAGCTAAGATGAACCCCCATCAAAAAGAGAACTAGCTGTTGTTTAAAAGGACTTAATTTATCACCTGCTGGAAGCTGTCTTTATTACTATGAACCACTTTATACAGATTCTGCTTCCAGGTTTGCTAATGGAAACTTTGTTATCGCAAATTTCAATATTTGCGCAGTGTTACTGCTTTACAGAGTGTTCTGGAGAGAATGCTGGAATGGCAGATTCAAATCAATTGGAGTCAAAAAAAAAAGCACGAGACCCTGCAGTGAAGAATGTTAACCACGATTCTCTGTTATGAAATGTGGCATTTTTATGCCTCACTCGTGTCCGAATCTTCAACAAATCACTCGAAACTGGAGATTAAAATCATCGCAAGGGTTAGTTAGATGCTGAGCTGCTAGTCGTTGTAAAAAAAACCTACAATAGTAACTAGCCAGAAAGTAAATGTGGGATTGGTGTGGAGATAGTGTTGCCAAGTAACAGCTGCAGTAAATCTATCCGTTTGGCAGACATCAGGCTGGTCAGATGTCATTTGTTCTAGGATGTATTTCCAGACTCAATGTACCTTCTGTTTCGAATGGTATCTTACGTGAATAATTTGTTACCAATTGTTAATGTGTGTGCGTTGATCCTAATAAAACGCATTGAAGAGCAACATATCGAAGTCACGTTTGTTAGGTCAGACTCAGCCACTGTGAAGTGGCGCTATACAAATGCAAGTTGGCGTTGTTGCAGTAGTAATACTAACGCGTGACATAGCACCTCATCATATCGTCAAAACGTTTCAAAGCGATTCCCGGGATTAACTGCAAAGTGCAGTGACTGTGTAAGCTAACGCAGTAGCGCATTCTGCGCACAGCAATGTCCCACTCAATGGCCGATTTTATCTGGGAGATTGTTGGGTCGGGACACCGGGAGAAACTCCCTTCGTTCCTGAAATAGTGCCACGGGATCACTTTGATGCCCACCTGAACAGGCACAGGCGAAACCTCTCATCTGACCGACAGAACAGAACCTCTGACAATGCAGCATTGCATTGGAATGTAAGGCGAGGCTATGTGTTGGCTCACTGCTAGAACACAGCCAAGCGCTTGCAATCCAACGTAAAACAGCAGCATTACTCAATACTGACTTCACACACCTCTCTCAACCTGTGTCAGTGGGACTGAATCACCAGAGACATTTCAAAACTCTTGGCACATCATGTGCAACAGCTTTGCACACCATAAAACCAAAGGTGAAGGATTCCCAAGATCCTATCATTTTCAGATGCTTAGAAACCTATCACCCAAAACAAGAAGGATCCATAGAAAAACATCCCACCTTTGGTTTTCGATACTGAATTTCTCTTTCATTTCTCTTGGGACCTGAATTTTTGAACTTTGCTCACCAGTAACAAACACAAAGTCCACCTACTGATTGATTGATTGATTAATGGAATCAGATTTGAGGCATTACATCAACGACGTTAATAGAATCTGCCTTGAAATTGACCGATCTACAACGGTCAAAGATCCAAGCAATACCTTGATTTGCTGCTTGAAGAAGAACTTCTTTTTTCTTTCTCATAGGGTTCGTCAAGGCTAGATTCCTTCCACGCCTTGTTTGCAATGGGCGATCTTTCATAGTCACTGTTCCGATAACAGTGCTGGGCGATTCCTTCCAGATGCTGGGGTGGCAATGGCCTGAAGGGCGGCAGCGAGGGAATCGGTGAGCCGCGATTCTGTGGGAGTTGCACAGTTGATAAGTGTTCTACAGACGAATGAGGGCCTTGAAGACGCACGTCATCTGCCAAAAAAAAAAAATTATACATCAAGGCTACGGGACAGGAATGGTTCGTTTTTTCGGTCACGCTGAAACACTGAAGAATCGCATCACGATTTAACGTCTGCTGTGCGCAATTGGCTGCTGTGTTTCGCCCACAAGATATACAGTCAATTCACCTTACAGCATATTCTGTGAAGCGCTTTGAGACGTCTAGAAGACATGAAAAGCGCTATATTAAATGCAAGGATTATTATTATTATTATTAATACTAACGACAGACAAAAACTAATACTGCTGCAGTGAACTGCTTACAGAATAATCAATTCAGTGTTATCCAGTCTAGTCACATGGCAAAAATAATATAATTCCCTTCTCATAAAAGTCTATAGGTACTTTTTGGAAACTTTAAAGAAAGTCAGAGTTACAATGAATGTGTTCTTCACGCTAGATTTGTTCGTCCACGCAAAATACAGTTAATTTACTTTACGGTATATTCTGTGGATCACTTTGAGATGTCTCTAAGACGTGATAAGGCGCAATAAATAATATAAATTATCCTTGCATTTGATATAGCGCCTTATCACGACTTTGAGACATCTCAAAGCGCTTCACAGAATATACTGTAACATGAATTGACTGTTTATTTTGTGGGCGAAACGCAGCAGCCAATTGCGCACAGCAATGTCCCACAAACAGTCGTGGATTGAAGTAACCAATTTAATATTGTTACAAACCTACACAGCTATATCAAATGCAAGGATTATTATCATTATATTATTAAAATAGGAAAATGCATAGGAACGTCAACTGGGCAATTGACTATCAGGCTGTGTTCTCAAAGGTTTAACTAGGGTTTAAAATGTTGCAATCGCAATCTGGACTCACAAAGGAGTTGTAAAAATTGAATCCTGTCACGAGACAATTTCACTCAAATACACCTGAATCAAAAACACTTCAGAATCCACTTCTCGACAGCTGGTGTGACACACTTTACTTCCTTATTGAGGAATCAAATCGTTAATCACCGCACTTTAGACCCCAACGTTTGCATTAGTCTACACGTAAAAATTGGCACGAGCTCGTGCTGTACCCAACAAGAGTTTGGTGTGATTCCAGCCCCAAAGCCAAACCAACCGCATTCCAAAAGCACACGGGTTTCTCATAGTTTGGAAGCTACAAGTAGGGACTGTTCCACATGAATTCGGCTCTGCCTGGACTCGTTCAGCTCTGTATGTTTGCTGGATGTGAGACAACTGGTTTGTTGTCTATAACTTACCATCTTCCAGAACCGCTGCATCTGACAGGGAACTGTCATCGGAAGCACTCAATTCTAAAAAAAAAAAGACCATCAGGGTGTTAGGGAATTAAGGTTTTCGTACCATGAAATGAAATCTTTTCAAAATTGTACTCAAGCAACACAAAAATACCAATTGAGTTACAATTCGGAAAAATAACCTGTAAAGCTTTGCTAGGTTGGGAGAAATCTTGCCTCGGGTCAGAAGCAGAAATCCCTCATTGGGGCTTTGACCTCTTTGGCTGACAATCCGGTGCAGAGCCGCTTTGTCGAAGGCGCTGTTCTTTCGAATGAGAAAGTAATCCAAAGTTTGGATGCGATTTAAGATTTGACAATATTGGTCGCACGTCGTTTTATACTATTTGGGCCCCTCAAGGTATTGATTTCTTCACAAATGCTGATTGATGGCCAAGCTAACAGAGTGTAACCCACCTTGCTTCACAGATATGACTCTATCTCGACGACAATGTGACTGACCTTTTCTTTATTCCTTTACTCTAGTGCGTTTTAGCATTCCGAATCGCAGCGTTCAGTAATGTCTGTTAAGATGGCTTCGCTAGTGGTTGTGAAAAACACAGCACTGACACAAGTTGACTTATAAGAAGGACTGAAGCAAACTGCAGGTCTGACGCATTTCAATTTTTTTTTTTGGCCTGCTCGTTTTACAGCTAATAGCTCCACTCCTCAGTGGATTCGACCTGTGACATTACACTTTCTTGTTGAGTGAGACAAACGGAAACACTGGAGAACACGAAACACAGAAAAGAAATGGCCTTAGGACAGAATGGCTGATTGTCTCTTGCGGGGGAGGGGGTGGAGGAGTGTGGACTGGAACCCCAGGGCTCAAGTTGAGAAAGCTTTGTGATTCCACAATGTCACCACTGTGCAACGTTTTATTTCTGCGCAGTCCGTACGACTGAGCACTTGTGGTGCCCTGGTGATACTTTAAAAGACTCCAAAGCTGCACAGACGGAATTGTGGGAACAGCCTCCCGCTAAGATTTCCCACAAGTTTCTGGATGGGTTCCCGTGTATCGCAATTACCAAGACGAGAGGGATTCTTGAGCACCAGAAACTGAAGCTAATTAGCAATTGTCGGAAAGCGTTTCATGCCCGTTCAAATCGACCACGTCTTGCAGAAAATGAGAGAATCTCAGTAAACGTAAGGTTGCCAATCTTGTGCAAACATCGTGGGAACAGGAAAAGTAACCCAGCAACGATTATGAAGGCGGTAAGATCAGGTTCGATGATATGAAGTGTGGTATTTCCCCTCTGTTTAAACGATGAGCTTGGCACCAAACAAAATTTAGGCAAATATCGTGCGTGGGAGGGCAGCATTGTGGTGGGTAAGTTGCTCAAAGTCTTAAAACAACCACTCTGATGATTGCTTTACTATCAACTGGGGGTGCTTAAATGCAGAACGGTTGTCAAAAGAAAATTTGCTGAACAGTGTATATGGTTTTAAAAGCTTGGCGGAGAACAGGGTAAATTGAAGTAAAGTAACTATTATCAGCAAGATTATCCAGCATTGTTTCTCTTGAGTGTCGAAACAGATGGAGAGAAGATCTGTTAAATGTATTGTACTTATCGGGTGGGGTGGCTAGATTTAAGAGGGTGCGGTGGCCAGATTTAAGAGGCTCAGTGGGAATCAATATACAAACCTTTACCTTCATCATGTTTAGTTAGGAGGTGGAATGTCACCTACAGTAGTTATTTCAAACTTTCAGCTCGACAGCATAATGCAAGCGCTAAAATGACTAATTGTTCAGAGAATCAGTAGGATCGCTTCACCATTGTCACTTACAAAACAGTTCTTGCTCGTTAATATAGAATTCTGACCATATTTAGAAAGTACCAGTGAAGGTTGGCATATTCTAATCTACAGCGTGCAAGTTAATGGGCACGAACATAGTCTTTGCCGGTGTCAGCAAAATTTCACTGCTGACTGGTAGCTACACGTTTGTGGTTTATGATTTCAGGTTAGTCAGGTTTTAAAATTGTGTCAAACCTTCTAGCACGTTATTCAACTGGAGGGGACTCCCAACCCCCTTGATTCTGTATTCCTTTAACGTTTGCTTGATATCCTTGAGCTTTTTTTGTTCCTTCGTAAAGATGTTCTTTCTTTGTTTTCTTATCTGCCTGGTGAGGTTGTCTTCTTGGGATAGACGTTTAGCTGCTTCCACAAACTGTAATTGTAACGCAAAATCTCTCTCCAGGGAACTGAGTTCAGAATCCTGCAAAAACAATGACCCAAATTGAAACCAATGGCATTTGAGCTTTTCTTCATTCTTGTGCGGCGAGTAAATACTGTTCCCTGGAATAGCTTGCATCCCCCTTTACCTGGTCCTTCATGATATCATTTTGGGCTTCGCAAGTCAACAACAACAACAACTTGCATTTATCTAGCGCCCTTCACGAGAGGCAGTGCCTCAGAGCGCTTAACAGTGGCGGAGCCTGACACCGAAGTGGGGGGAGGGAGGTGACCGTAAGCGCGATCGTAGAGGAACGTCTTCAGTCATGATCTAACAACAACAACTTGCATTTTGTAGAGCGCCCTCCATGCCGGGCGGCGTTCCAGAGCGCTTAACAATGGCGGAGCCCGATGCCGAGCCGGGGGGAAGGGGAAGGTGATCATAGGCACGGCGAAGAGGAAGGTCTCCAGGGACAACCTGAAAATGGGGAAAGAGGGGGCAAGGCGAAGGGATTGAGGGAGGGAGTTCCACAGTTCGGGGTGTAGTTGTAGCCACTGATGGAGCGGAGGATTCGAGGGGCAAGGAGGAGGCTAGAGCCAGTAGAGAGGAGGCATTGGATAGTGCTGTGAGGAGAGAGGGGGTTGGAGAGATAGGGGGGTGGCCAAGGCATGGAGGGACTTAAACACTAGAGTGAGGATCTTGAAGTCGATACAATGCTCTGTGATAGGGAGCCAGTGGAGTTTGGCAAGGACTGGGGTAATCGGGGTGCAGAGTTAAGTGCGGGTGAGAAGGTGGATGGGGAATTTTGGATGAGTTGAATTTTGTGAATGGCGGAGGAGGGGAGACGGGCGAGGAAGATGTTTGAGTAGTCCAGATGATACGTGACAAAGGCGTGGACAAGGGTTTCGGCAACTTGTGGAGTGAGGTGTTGTTGGAGACGGGCAATGTGGTGGAGGTGGAGGAAGGTGAGGGGATGGAGGGGGCAAGGCAGAGGGATTGGTGGTTCAAAGTCAAACTAATCAAAACAAATCATTGCTTCCCTCAGAATTTGGCTTCAAACTAACCAAACTATAAATACCTTTGAATTTTGCATTCCAAGGTCAATTATGACTTCTGCATTTAGACATTTCTGTGTGAACGTTTGCTGTTTAGACAGAAACTGCGCAACTAAATAATTTCTATTTAAAAGGCACTCCTAAGAGCTAAGGTTCATCTCTTTTCCCTCTCCTAAAATTTAATTTAAAATCAAAGATGAAAGACACTAATTTGGGCCCTGTAATACCCAGAGGGTATTGTTTGTGTATTGAAGCAACAGAAGATAAGAAATATTGCATAATCCAGAGTTCTGTTCTGTTTCTTTGAGGCCCAGGGTTTTTTTGCTGAAAATAATTGCTATCAAAATTAATCTGTTTGATGTGCATTTACCATGCATGCCATATTGCTTTTAGTAAGAGATAGGTGTTTGAGCAATGGTGATTTGCAGAGATTCAAGAGCTAAAGTTCACTATGTTGTAATGAAAAATAATAATAATAATCCTTGCATTCGATATAGCACCTTATCATGTCGTTGAGCCATCTCAAAGCGCTCACAGAATACACTGTAAAGTGAATTGGCTGTGTATTTTGTGGGCGAAATGCGGCAGCCAATTGTGCACAGCAGTGTTCCACAAACAGTCGTGCATTTTGTTGGGCGGAGGGAGGGATCATTAGCACCACAAAGCGATCCGCCATTTGACTAACTTACTGCTAGGTAAATAGATAAAAAATACGTTGAAAATAGCATAGTACCTCTCCTTCAGGCACAATTTTCTCGTCCAATTTGAACGTTGTACCTATACGTCGTCGCACAATTGGTGGCTCTTCACCTTCAGCTAATGGGTACTCTTTAGGTAACTTCCCAGTCAGCTCCTGAGGATTAAATACATTTAACACATTAACAGTTAAATTCACAGCCATAACATAATATTTTTTGTGTTTGTGGCAACCACATCAAATTGGCATATAGAGTAATTAAGTAAAAAGCATCTCGAAGATGGAAGAAGCCACCTTGGAACATTTGCAGTGCTTTGGGGTAAGAGCGGGGGAGCGGGACTAGTTGGATAGCTCTTTCAAAAGAGCCAGCACAGGCACGATGGGCCGAATGGCCTCCTTGCGTGCTGTAAGGTTCTGCGATTCTATGGTTCAAAGAAGCCACATCACAAACATTTAATAAACTAAGTTCAGGGTTTGAGGTTACAGAAACAGATCAAACTTTGGTTTTGAAATATAACATGCAGAGCACATTTGCCCCAAATCGTACTTGCACTCTAATGACAGAGCTAAACATTTTGTCGTCTTGTTGTTAATTGAAGGTTACTATATAGCTATAGTGAGAAGAACATTTCAATCCAAATCCAGAGGGTGTTGTTTCTTGATACTCACAGCTTCACGCAAACACAGCTTTTTCAGCTCCTTTAAATAAGCCTCCAGTGTTTCTTCCAGCATTTGCTGACGTGAAATGACAGAACAATGCAGATCTTTCATCAGGGACTGAGGGCTGTCTGACCCTGTGAATACAAGGCCACAGTTAAAAAGTGAAGATAATGAGATCTAAAATGTAGGGTTGGGGACAGACGAGCAAAGACAGTACGCCATAGTGCGAGAAAACTCCAACTCTTCTGGTGATATAATTTGGTATTTTCAAGAGAAGAGGAAGAAAGAAATGAAGGGGAACCAACATTGGAACTGTAATTCAATGATCAGCAAAAGTCATCGAAATGTTCTATTCTATTTTGGGTCTGAAGTGACTCGCTGTTACTAAGGTGCCACTCCCCTGTCTGTACATTTCCATGTGTTCTGTATTTGGATAAGACTCAGCCATTACTCTTTCTATATGCAATAATTACAAGTTAAGACTGGATCCGTGGTGGGAAGAACAGAGAGAATCTGAAGTTTTTATTTGAGCGATTGTTAGATTAGCCTAGACGTTAAACTAAGAGGTCTGCCTGTTCAGGTGGATGTTAAAGATCCCTTGGCATGGTTTGAAAAAATGAGGAGTTTCTCCCCGTGACCTACGACGCTCAATGTAAAATTGTTTGCTCGCGGCTGTTTATGGGTCATTTCTGTGTGCAAATTGCCTACACGTAAATTGTACTTTTGAAACGTTACGAAGCACTTTGAGGCATTCTCAACATTGTAGCTGCTATATCAAATGCAAGGATTATTATTGTTCCTCCCACAAAATACACAGTCAATTTGCTTTACGCTATATTCTGTGAAGCGCTTTGAGACACCTCAACGATGTGATAAGGCACTATAGCAAACGCAAGGTTTATTATATTATATAATACAACAACAACTTGCATGTATATAGCGGCCTTCACACCGGGCGGCATCTTGGAGCGCTTAATATCCTGCGAATTTATATACGATAAAGTTTACATTGTGCAGCACGAAAGCCGCATCATTATTAATGAGGAAACAATGGGCTGCAAAGAAGAAACAAGAAAACGAGGATTGAAAAGTCGACGTGACTGTATAGGAGACACCATGTAAAATTGCAGTATTTACTGCGAAGCCTTTTTTAAAAAAAATACTGTGCAAATCCGGTCCTTCTAGGTGATTGCACAAGCCTCTCAATCTGCAAGTCCCAGCATGGCATTGACAGCTGAGGACTGCCTTTTAGTCACAATTCAACAAGGAAAAAGCAAATGCAGGTTGCCACTTGTTTTCCAAGTATGTTAAGTTTCCAAGGAATTTGCAAAATAATGAGGTCCCCTATTATTAGGTCGAAGCTAATGGAATTCTGTGCACCTGTGAGCATTTGACATCATCATGTATGTTGTCATGACCCGTGTAATGTAATGTAATAACATCATTGGTTCCGCTCGTGTAAAAGAAACCCAACATGAATGGGATGTTTCCACTTTGTTGGTGAGTCTATAACAAGCATAAATAATAACAATAATAATCCTTGCATTTGCTATAGCGGCTTTCAAGTCGGGGGAGCACTCCAAAGCGCTTCACAGGACATATTGTAAAATGGAGTGAATGTGTATTTGCAGACGAACGAGGCAGCTCAATTGCATACAGCAATGTCCAGCAAAAAACCCGAAACGAATGACCTTGTTTCAAAGGTCGGTGACAATGAGGAACTCACTTCCGGAAGCAGTGATTGAAGCCCAATTAAATTCCTTTTTTTTAAAACCGTGATGAATGTAAAGGAACAGCACAATATGCAACAGAAACCTGTTAATGATCACTTAATGGACCATTTGTTTAACGAGAGTGTTTACTCAGACACCAGCTCATTCTCTGCCTTTTCCTGTGTTTGCTTCGTGGGGATGAATGATTAAAAGGTACATTTCCCTCCGTTTGTGCTCACAAAGAAAGTTCTTCCACTGCACTCGGATTACAAGGCAAACATTTCTCAAAGGGTTTATCAAGGCCGAGGACTTAAAAGAATTCAACTCCATCATAAAATTTTAGCTTCAAAGAACTGAGGTCATAAGGTTTAAGCTTTGACTTTTTGGCCCTCGTCTGTAAATAGAATAGCATTTCATTTAAATGAACAAGATGCATTCTCGGATTCCTACTCTTTGAATTTTCATATCTCTGTGACCAAAGCCATGCCTAAAAGAAGTAGAATATTCAGTAAACTACAGGAAAGTGAAAAGTTGTATCGTTGAAAGTAAATTTTTGATATTCCTTGCTCTTCTAGGATGGCATATCCCCCGTTAGCATGACAAATGCTGTGAGCAGCATTTTGTAATTTCATTCACGCCACTTGATCCATCTGTGGTTGAATTTGTACAAAAAGTGAAAAGTAAATCAAATGCGTTCCACATTCTCACCCAGCTCTGCCTGAAGCAGTTCCTGCTAAATTCCCTAATGGATTTGAGTCAATCAAATCACGAATATACCAAGTAAATTAGAAAACAAAACGTGTAGAAGCAGGATTACCTGACTGGAGAATGACTCCACTGTCAGAATCACTGGCTTCATCTTTACTTTCCATCTTCAGTGTGAGTGCGTGTAATGGTCCACTCTTCCTCAGGCCCAGGAGATTATTCCAAGTAGGGTTTGATTCACCTGCCAGCTGCATAAAAATGAGAGTTATACATTGCAATACAAATCAATATTTATACAATGCCTGCCTGTCACATCCCGAGTGCTGAACAGTCGTGGCTTGGCACCCGAGCTGGAGGTGGGAGCTGAGGGATTTGGAAGAAATAATAATAATAATCCTTGCATTTGATCTAGCGCCTTATCACATCCTCGAGACGTCTCAAAGCGCTTCACGGAATATATTGTAAAGTGAATGGACTGTACATTTTGTGGGCGAAAGAGGGAAAGGTGGGACGAGGTAGGTCGAAGAGGTAGGTCTCAATATGGACCTTGAACGAGGTGGGGAGCGATTCGTAGGGAAGTTGAAGATTATAAAGTTTATCATTTTTTCACAAACATGCATTTAAAATAGAGAGTGATGCTCTACATTTCAGGGATATTGAGGGGGAAAGAAATCCCCTCCCACAAGTCACGAGGTTAACCAAATCCAGGTGAAACCCACAAACCTTCACCAATCCAACAACGAACCATGCAGCTGTGAGTGAACAAACCATGGAGTTAAAAGCTTGCAGATGAATAAGTCTGCGTGAGTGTAATATTATACTGAATCGACATGTCTCATCGTATTTCAACTGCATTGACTGAAATGCTTTGGGTGAGAGCCACATATTCAGTACTCCAGGTAGTGTGAATTTTGCAAGTAAGCACTCCACAACAGTACAAAACACACACTAAATTAACAGTTAATTTTGCTAATTTATTTTCCTGTACCCACATTTTGTCCTATCTTGTCTGCGGAGGTCTTTAAACATGGGTAGCATTTTTATGGGGAATTAACGACATACTTTTGCCTTACTTTGTGTTCAAAGACACACAGTAAAAAGTTAATTATGGTTAATTACGCAACGATTTGGGTATATTTCATGCACAAGATCCCTTCTCCAAACCAAAAATGTAATATTGTGCCATAAAAATGTCAATCAGCGTAAGTCACATATATGATAATTCTCTGAATAGCACCATTGTCTCCAACACATCGGTATCTCAACCACTGTGTCAGCCTGACAGAGGTAGAATCCGCATTAGCTTTTAAGTGGAAATTTGATAAATCTCTGAAAAGCAGAAATATAAATTGGAAATAACACTAATAATCCTCACATTTGATAGAGGGCCCTATCACGTCGACGAGACATCTGAAAGCACATCACAGGATTTTACTGTGGAGTGTAGTGACTGCGTATCTAGGCGAACAGCAATAGCCCACAAACAGCCATGAAATGAATCCTACCTGGTGGATTGTTGGTCAGGACACCGGGAGAAACTCCCTTCTTATTCTGAAGAGTGCTGTTGAGATCTTTAACGTACACCTGAACAGGCAGATGATACATCTGTTTAATGTCTCAGGGAAAGGGCTGCACCTCCAATAATGCGGGTGAAAACCCAGCCCTGCATTTGGAGTGTCAGCCTAGACCATGAGCTCAAAGGATTTGAGATGGGGCTTGAACCCACAACCCTCTGACTCAGACGTGAGTGCTACCAATCGAGCCAGGCTGACACCTGGCTCAGTCGGTAACACTGTCACCTCTGACTCAGAATGGTGCTGTGATAAAGGGGGAAAGGCAGGAAACTGGGATCTTTCAGAGATCCATCTTAGTCACGTTGGGCCAAACAGACTGCTCTGCGCTGTCCATTTTTCTATGACTTTATGAAAAGGAATCAGGAACGAATTACTCATCCAGCTTCCTGGCAATGTCAACTAAGGAGTGGCAGTTAAAACATTAGACATTTGTACACAACAGTTCATCGCAATCTCCCAATCAAGAAAGATAGTTGGTGGGAAGAATAAATTTGGTGGCCAAAATAATTCAACAACAACAACTTGCTTTTGTGTAGCACCCCTTAAGCAGCGTAGCATCCCAGAGTGCTTGAAACGAATTCTAGCAGAGCAAAAGTATAAGAAAACCACATTTGCTGAACATCTTCAGCGTTAGCTAGAAAAGCTAATCGAGGCCACCATCTCTGAAGTAACCTCAAACGATAATAAAAATAATAATAATCTTTGTATTCGACATAGCGCCTTTCACGTCGGAAGGACGTCTCGAAATGCTTCAGGTGAAAACCACACGTTTAATAACCGAAGTCATTCCTCACAAGCAGGAATAGCTAAAAAGGATGTGTGGTAAACGGAGTGAATTTGGCACACGTTTGATACACCCAAGCCATTAGATATTCAAATAGTTACAAACCGTAGAGTTTGCACACGGTGACAGTAAGCGCTGATAAAAACGCATTCATTAGATCCAACTGTTCCCCAACCCAAATAGTTGCATGTGATGAAATCTGATGCGCTGCTGTTCCTCGTGACACATGGCCCTTAAGACACGTCTGGTGCCTGTACTGGGTCACTTCAAGCGCTTGCTGGATGATCGTGTTGTCTCTTGTTTAGAATACTCCTCACAGCAGGCAGCTCGGCTTCTCAATAACGCTCTGTGCTTGTCCGATTTTCTTGGAAGGTGTAAACTGATCTGTCGGCTGCACCAGGAAATTGGAAGTTCTGATCCAAATCGTGACAGCTGTTTGCACCAGTCTTATGCTTGAGACAAGCTTATCATGGCCAGAGCGCTGAATTTCTGCATGAAAATGACTTAAGTGTAATAATCCTTGCACTTGATATAAGCCTTTCACGTCAAGAGGTCGTCTTGAAGCACTTCACAGGATATACTGTAAACTCCAGTGACTTTATATTTTATAAGTGGGTGCAGTGGCCAATAATGCAGCACACGCACACCCTGAGCATTGTATTTGAGTCTCAGTCTAGACCGTGAGTTTAAAGTCCCGAGTGGAGCTTGAAACCACAATCTTCTGATTCAGAAGCGAGAGTGCTACCGAATCAACCAGACTCACACCTGCACCTCCGTCAAGGTCAAAAAGCTTATTTCTCAGTCTGTCTTTCAAATAATTATGACGGGTCTCAGTGACTCTAAAGCTCACCACATTCCTTCTCCCTCAACACACACACACACAAACACTCTACACAAGCACACGCACACACGAACACGCCACACACACACACTCACACACATACACTCCACACACACACAAACACTCCACACACACACACACACACACACACACATTTGATGTTTTATCTTCTTTGAATATAAATCAGTTTATTTTGCCTTGAATGAAATTGATGTTTAATTTCCAGCTTGGATATATCTGCCATTCCTGAGTACTTTCGTTCATTTGTATGACTTTCAAACTTCAACAGAATGATGAATGAAAAGCAATTCAACTGCCGAAGTTGTTGACGGTTATTAAAGAGGTTGGGAGGTACTGTTTCTCTCTGCATGTTGAAAACCGGGATAATTTCAGCAGTCCCGACCATGCGATCTCACACAATGGCCTTGCTTCAGACATCAAACTGATGCATATCACAAAGATTAATGGTAAGCTTGCATTTGGAATAATATAACTAAGTCTTTCAATCAGGCACAGTGCCGATGTATAAAAGAAGTTAAGTCAACAACAGCCCCGTCAATCATCAGGCGAAAGACTCATAAATTCCCATCCCTTCTCACACTCAAGAAATTATACTGAGATGTCACAGCAAACTACTGCCGCGGATTATTATTGGCACGAAAGGAGATTATGATGGGGGAGGTATGCTGGGGGGAATAAGGCACAATAGTGCAGCTCTAGCTGGGTCTAATTCACAGGATGTCTGTCTGTGTCCATCAGCAACCTTACACAAGGTTGCTCCCTTCCAGCTCCCTGCTTGCAGTGACAGTGAAAGGTAAGTGAGTCGTTTTAATGCATCAGGAGTTGCTGACAATGTGATGGTGGCAGGAAGCATTCTTGCAGTGCTGACACAAGCTGGCTACAGGAGAATAGTTTCCGTCCATTCCCACCAACAAAAGCATTCTTGCCACCCACTCCACCAAATGCCTAGCTCCCTGCCACCCCCTCACCAACCCATTTCTAAGTATGTTACTTTCAACTACGAAATTCCTCCCAGACCATAAATGCATATTACTCAAATCTAAACGCAGAACACATCAAATGACCAGCGGTAATCATCTACTATAAGCACTAAAAATATTTCACTGTCAAGAAGTCTTTGCTGAAAACAGTTCTCATCAGACATTCAGTCCTCCTTTATAGTGTTTCAGTAAAACAACAACAAGATTACATTTGTATAGCGCCTTTCATGTCGGGAGGACGTCCCAAGGCGCTGGACAGAGTACTGCATTTCAGACCCGAGTTGGGGTTGGGGGGGGGAAGGGAGGGGAGGGGAAGGGGGGTGGCCGATGGCATGGTCGAAGAGGAGGGTCTTGAGGCAGGACTTGAAGGAGGCTAAGGAGGGGGTGAGGCGGAGTGACTGGGGGAGGGAATTCCAGAGGTTGGGGGCAGAGTGGCTGAAGTCTACAAGTCACCTAGTACTGGAAGCAACTATAAAATAATGGAGACTTGCCCCTTTAGATATTGTCAAGACGTGTGCAGCGTTGTAATGCCCTTATCGCTTTAGTTGCTGCCTCTTTGCTTGCCGATCTATCAATTTATCTATCTAGCACTCGCCTCACAAGTTATTATTGTTATTGTGAAAGGTGAGACCATTATAACACATTACCACTGAGAGATAAGTCTTGCCTCCCAGAAATGTAATCAGCTTAGTAACAGGATATGACAGGAGTGACACCTGTATTACATGTGACTTTATCAATGTTTAATCATTGACTTGAATCAATCTTTGGCTGGTGACACAATGATGCACAGAAGAACTATCATCACACAACTGTCTAGGCTTGATTCAGTGTTCAGCAATTTACACCAGCTCTTCTCTACACATAAACCAGCCATGAGAAGTGAGAACCAGAGCCGAGTATAATCATGTCCTCGAGCTTAACCCACTCTCGTACACACATTCCAACAGACTATTACAACAACACAACAACAAGATTGCATTTATAGAGCGCCTTTCATGTCGGGAGGACGTCCCAAGGCGCTGGACAGTTGGGTCGGGACCCGAGC